TAGTTCCCCCGGGAGATCGACTGGCCGATGCTCCCAGTCCAAGTGTGGGTGGCACTACCTACTTGGATACCTAGTGTGGCTCAATGGAACCCGCTCTAAGCCCATGGCTAGAGCACCCAAGGGCAGAAGGCGAGGAGAGTACCCAGGTGGCTCGCGTAAGGCCACGGTGTTCCGAAATGTTGTCCCAAAGGCCCAAACTGTGGAAAGGAAGAGGAGCAGTCCTCTGGGGTAGTGACCAAGGACACAGTCGTGTGGTGAGGAAGTCCCAGAGGACTGTGGGACTTAGTGGTCGGGCCTGTGGGTCTCGATCTAGTGGCAGTGTTGGCAAACACGACCAGGGGCAGAAAGGGACTTAGTGGGGACTGACAGAGGGATAGTGGGGAAGGCTATCCCCTTGTCGGTGGACATCCTAAGGATGCTAAGGAGTGGATCTGAGATGACCACTCACGGATGGTTTGCCTAGTCTTGGAGAGCCAAGACTGTGATGCAAGTGGTATTGGACTACCAGTGTGGCAAAGGTGATTGGGCATGGCCTTAGCGTAACGGGCTGCTATGTCGGTGGTACCTTTGAGTGTCGGTCATGGGATCGGACATGTGGAGCACTTGGACCAAGTGCAAATGTTGAGTGGCATGGATGCCATTCTCGGGGCTAGCAAGTCCCAAGTCCTGGATTGGACTTATGGAGGTTGTGAATGAGACTCCTCCAAGTGGTCAGAGGTGTGGTTAAGTGACTAAAGCAGAATGGAAAATTTAGTCGATTACAAAGAGGTCTCCTCTTCTTCTCTCTGTGTTGGTTGATACAGGTTTGAGTTTATCTTCTATTGCTCGACCTATTGCCACACGTTGCCATCTTGCATCGTGCGACGGAACCCGTTTTCATTCTTTATGGCAACGGCCATACACATGCATATGCATGGGATGAGGTGGACCTGGTTGTGCGTATGGGCGATCTAGATGCTTGAGTTGCAGTCCTTGCGGGTGGTGCCGAGTCAAGCTTTTGACCTCATTCTTGGTATGGATTGGTTGCAACGCAATCATGCCAAGTGTGACTTTGAGGCTTCTCCCCCTTGTCTCATACTTCCTTACGTTTCATCCATTCCTCTTACTTCTGTCCCTCTTCGTCCCTCTACTTTTACCTCTGCTTCCATTACTTTTGTTCCCCCACTATTTCCTCCTATATTTCCATCTTGTTCTGCTCTTCCCTTTTCCAATCCCTCCGATGATCTTTGTGTTGTAGCGGTGGACCGGCTTATGAAGGAGTATTCTGATCTCTTTGAATTTGACCTATCATCTGGGGCTAAGATTGCCACACGTCATCCCATTCCAACTGGGGATGCTCGTCCAATCAAGGTTCCCATTCGTCGTCGGTCACCCAAGGAGATCTAGATTTTACATGCAAATGTCAAGGAGATGTTGGAGAAAGGTGTTATTCAGAAGTCGTGGAGTCCTTGGGCATGTGAACCTCATCTTGTGACAAAGCCCGATGGGAGTATTCGTTTCTACATTGACTATCATCCGTTAAACAAAGTGACGATCCTAGATGTGAACCCTCTTCTTCACACTGCTGATCTCTTGGATCGTCTGGGGTGAAGTCGTTGGTTCACCAAGCTAGATCTTGCTTCTGGGTACTAGCAAGTACTGATGGCCGAAGAAGATATTCCTAAGACCGCTTTTTGTACACCATTTGGTTTGTACGAATCCTTGGTGATGCCGTTTAGTTTGAACAATGCTCCAACAACTTTTCAGCGGATGATGGACGAGGTTCTTTGCGATATGCCAGAGGTGACTGCTGACTTCATTAATGATGTCTTGATCCACTCGAAGGGGATGTGGGAGGAGCACATTCGTGATATTTGTAAAGTGTTGGATCGGCTACGCGACGTTGGTTTAAAGTTGAAGCGGTCGAAGTGCGTATTTGGGTCCAAGAATACAACTTATCTTGGGTACCTTATTTCACGTAAGGGTTTGCAAGTTGATCCTAACAAACTTGTGGCTGTTCTAAAGTTCCATACTCCGAAGTGTGTGAATAATGTGCAGCGCTTCTTGGGCAAGGTGCAGTATCTCGGTCGTTTTGTGGATCATCTTTCTGATCACACTGCACCATTGCGAGCGTTGCTGAAGTCATCAATATCATCTTTCATCTGGTCTCCGGATTGTGAGCGGGCGTTCGGGGATCTCAAAGAGCTGTTAATGACTCCTCCAGTTTTGGCATATCCTGACTACACTCGACCTTTTATTTTGCGCGTGGATGCTTCTGACATTGGTCTTGGAGGTGTGTTGATGCAAGAGAGCTCGAGTGTGCCTGGTTAGTGCCATCCCATTGCATATATAAGCCGTACATTACAACCAGCGGAGATGAACTACTCCACGACAGAGAAGGAGTGTTTAGCAGCAGTCTGGGATTTCGAGAAACTTAATGCATATCTACATGGTTCTCAGACGTTACTTGAAGGTGACCATGCTGCTGTTACTTCGTTATTAAAGGGGAAGAACCTAGTTGGTCGTATTGCTCGGTGGGCCTTAAAGCTTCAGATATATGATTTTGATGTTGTTCATCGCCCAAGGAGTTCTATGGTTGATGCTGATGTCCTTTCTCGAGCTCCTCTTCCTTCTTCACTCTCTTCTCATGTTTCTGATGAGCCTGTTGTTCTAGCATCTGTGGATTTTCTTGACGAGGATTCTGTGCTGTCGGCAATTGCTGTACTTGTTTAGTGTCCACAAGGTGCAAAGCAAAATCTACCTTCAGTTGATAAGGTTCGCGAGGCTCAAAAGATTGAGCCATGGATTCGAAGGCTTCAAAATGGGTTTGAGAATCCTACATCACTTGCTGATGACTTGCCTTTCCGGCATTTACATTCTCAATATCATCTTGAAGGTGGCCTTCTTTATTTTGTGGGGACAAATCCTAATGATCATTTACGGTTGGTGGTACCTTCTATCTTTATTCCGCAGTTTTTCCATGCCTACCATAATTCTTCTATTCTAGGTGGGCATATGGGACATCGTTGTGTAATCGAGAAGCTACGCAGGTCTTTCTATTGGCCGAAGATGCGACGTGATATTATCCGGTATGTGCGTAGTTGCGTTTGGTGCCAAGCTCGTAATACTCCCCCTCGGGCTGCGGAAGGACGGTTGGAGTCAATTGCAGTTTCCCGTCCATTTGAGTTGGTGGCGTTTGATCTTATAGGACTTTTTCCACGGTCGACTGCTGGCAATGAGTATGTTATTATTGCTTCTAACTATTTGACTCGTTGGGTGGAAGTTGGTGTTCTTGCTAACGCCTCTGCAACTACTGTTGGATACTTCCTCCTCAATCGAGTGGTGTTCCAGCATTCTTGTCCAGAGCGGATTCTTTCGGATAATGGTCCCGCATTTATGGCTGAAGCATTTCATGTTTTGACGTCTCAGTTGGGGATTTGCCACACTTTCACGAGTGCTTATCATCCACAATCAGACGGTTTGGTGGAACGGCTCATTCGGACGTTCAAGGGGATGATTGCGAAGTATGTGAACTTTTAGCATTCGGATTGGGATGGTTATTTGTCGTCTCTTCAGTATGCATATGTCACTGGGGTGTAGAGTTCTATTGGTGCTTCACCATATAAACTCCTATATGGTCATGATCCAATATTATCAATGGAGTTGGGTTTACCCTCGCGATTGCCATAAGTTGCGGATGCTAGGTCATGGGATCAATATTTGACAAGCATTCTTCCACTTGTCCGAGCGGAGTCTGCCAAACACTTAGGCCGCGTACAAGTGGGACAACAATGGCGCTACAACTCCCATCATCGTCCACCTGCGGAGTATAAAGTGGATGATTTGGTGTTAGTCCGTTTTCCCCATCTTACGGTACGTGGTTTATCTAAAGGGCTCCTTGCACAATGGAAAAGACCATATCAGGTGTTACGGCAAGTTGGACCACAAGTTTATGAGGTTCGGCATGACGTCCAGCAGACCGGTCCTCCAAAGATTGTGCATGTGCAGTTGAAATGCTTTATACAAAAGGATCAGGAGCAGTTAATACCACCTATAGATCCACCGATGCCTTAGTCTGTTTTCCCCATCTTACGGTATGTGGTTTATCTAAGGGGCTCCTTGCACAATGGAAAGGACCATATCAGGTGTTGTGGCAAGTTGGACCACAAGTTTATGAGGTTTGGCATGACGTCTAGCAGACTGATCCTCCAGAGATTGTGCATGTGCAGCGGTTGAAACGCTTTATACAAAGGGATCATGAGCAATTAATACCACCTATAGATCTGCCGATGCCTCCTCCTAACGTTCCTCTAAATCCCAACCCGTTTACAAGAGAACCTTGATGGTTTGCCATTATTCCGGGGATGATGTGAGGGCCAAGTGTACGGTTACGATGCCGTATATTAATATTAGCGTAGTGGGATTTTGGTAGCCATCGGATTGGTTTCAATCTGGACCACTCGCTCCTGTATATAAGTTAGGGTTTTTGGGCTAATTAATATGCACATTTTCTGTATTCCCTTTCCATATTCCAAACACTCACAACATGAAATAAATTTATGTAATGCAAGAGAGTGGAGAATTAGAATTTCATCAATTAAAAATTCACCATTGCATTATATTGAATGCATTCTGACCAAGTAAGAGAAAAAATAAGTCCAACTTGATAAAGCTATTGTTTTTTGTGTTGAAAAAATCAATTTGTCCACCTCAAAAGGAATAAATACAGTTTTTACTTAAACATTCACTTGTCCATGAGTAATTCTCAGCAGAGCTCCAAGTCTAGCTCTCCAGTCTTCGAAGATTTGCACTCCATGTTGGATAAACGAACCTCTTTGGATGCTCCGTCAAGGGCTTTGTCCCTCCATATAATCTGAGCTCCTAGCCAGTCTTTGAGGCTCTCTCCCCCAGTTCCTATTTGCGAGCATTTCGGAGTAATCTCGTCTCGCATTGTGACCCCGATCGATCGAGCGAGGTAGCCCTAAGATCTGCTTTTGGTACGGCCCGCTGGATCGTGCTCCATGGTGCCTGCTGCAAGCGTCGGATCCCTTGCGAGAGCTTCCCCGGTGGTCGGATTCAGGCCCAGCGCCATTGTCTTGACAAGCAGCACTAGCAAGCGAGGTTGCTCGTGATATGCTTCTATACACCTTTCTTCTAGTGCTCGGATTTTCTCTAGGGGATTGCGAGTCTTTGATCTTCTTTTTCCACAGGCAAAGCCAGAGACTCTTGCTTCAGTCCAGAAGATCATCGCCACCCAGCTCTCGATCGATCAGTCCAGCGTCACTCCAACTGATCTTGGAGCCGACTCATGCTTTGATTCGTCTCCAAAGGTTGAGGTGATGATGCAACTCGAGGAGAACTTCAAGATCAGCCTGGGCGAGGAAGGAACCGAGAAGATTGTCACCGTGCAAGACGCTGCCGATTTGATCGAGGATGTGATCGCCAAGTAGTGAAAGCGTTTCTTTTTGGCGGCATCGTTTTTGTAAGGGTGGCTGATTAATCGTTGACATATTTTATTCTTTTCCTGTGATCAGTTTTCAACTTTTTATAGTAGAGCATGGAGATAAATACACAAGAACTGACCACGAAGAATCTCCACTTTATCATCGCATTTTAGTATGGAAGTTGCAACACTACCACATGTCTTGTTATAGCATTAATGTCTTGTTAATTAATCCTCTTCCTGTTGGTGTGCTTGTTATGCGTGTTTCAACCTCACAAAAGATGGATGTCTAGAATCTAACAAAAATAATAGAAGGAAGCCGATTCTGCCTAGTCCGAGCATGATAAGTGGGAGAGCAGCACAAAGGGGGACGAGGATTGCTCCTCCCAATTAAACCCCACCGCCAACTCTCCCAGTCGCTTCCCACGCTCCACTTCTCCATGGCTCCAACACGATCCCAGCAGCGACGTCCACGCCACGCTATCCTCCCTCCCCAAGACCGGCATAGCCTCCTCCAAAAACTCCTCGGCCTCTCCCAGCAGCCCGGCTCGTCCAAGCAAATCAACCACACACCGGTAGTGATCCACGGTGGGCGACACTCCAAAATCCAACGGCATCGCCACGAAGTAGCCGACGCCATCGCGCAGCATCCCACCGTGGCTGCACGCCGCCAGCACGGACACGAAGGTGACGGCGTCGGGGGCGGCGCCGTACGCGAGCATCTCCCGGAACAGCGCCACAGACTCGCGGGAATATCCGTTCCGTGCGAGACCCCCGACCATGGCGCTCCATGGGATCCTGGGCCGGCTGGAGATCTTGGCGAAGGCGATCCAGGCGTGGGCGAGGCTGCCGCGCTTGCACAGCGCGTCCACGATGCTGGTACCCACGATCGTGTGTGAATCCAGGCCGCATTCCACCGCCAGCGCGTGGATCGTCTCCAGCCGCGATGAATCGGCAGTGATCGCGCTCGCCTCCACCGCCGCCACGAACGATCTGGCGTCGGCGCGCACGCCTTCCAGATCCATGGACCGGAATCTCTGCAGCGCCTCCTCGCCTCGCCCGGATCGCGCGTAGCCAGCGATCATCGTCGACCAGGCCACGATGTCTGGAGCTGGGATCTCCTGGAAGAGCTCCTCCGCTCTGTCGATCTCCCCGGCCGCGACGTGAGCCTGGATCATCGCATTCCAGTCCTTCGTGGGCTCTGGGAGGCGATCGAAGAGCTCCCGTGCAGCGCCCACCTGGGAATTCGCTGCGAGGGCCGAGATCATCGCTCCCGCCACGGCAATTCGCCGATCCTCCGAGAGCTCCTCGCGGTAGAATCGCGCGGCCTTCTGGAGATCCCCGCATTTGCCCAGCATGGAGATCAGCCCCGCCGCTACCAGCTGATCGCTCTCGAGCCCCAGCGCCAGGATCCTCTCACACAATCGCCTGCCCTGCTCGAGAAACCGCGGTGCCGAGCACGAATTGAGCGCCGCCACAAAGCACAGCCCGCCGGAAGGCTTGATCCCTTCCAGATCCATCGCCATGAAGAGACGAATGGCCTCGCCGGAGCAGCCATTGTGGTTGTACCCGCGGATCATGGCCGTCCACGCCACCCCGTCCTTCTCATCCGCGCCGTCAAACGCCTGCCGTGCCTCGTCGATATGCCCGTCCAGGGCATACGCCCGGATCATCGTGTTCCACGCGATGAGATCCCGGCAGGGCATTCGATCGAAGAGCGCGATCGCGTTTTGGAGCAGCGATTCCTCGGTGTAGGCCAGGAGGATTGCGTTCCAGGAGACATTATCGCGGCCGGGCATATGGGCGAAGAGATCAAACGCATCACGGATTTGCCCCTGCTGGGCATAGCCGGAGATGAGAGTGTTCCAAGAGATCGCGTCCCTGTAAGGCAGAGCATCAAAGATCTCCCTGGCATCCTGGAGATGGATCGCGTTACCTTGATCGGAGAGAGCGCTCATCATCGCGTTCCAGGTGAAGAGATTGTGCTGGGGCATTCGCGCGAAGGCTTCCCGCGCGGAATCCACATCGCCACCGTCGCCGTAGGATGTAATCGCCACCGTCCACGTCACCACATTCCGCGCCGGAATCTCGTCGAAGAGTCTTTTGGCGTGCTCCAGGCGCCCATAGCTCATCACGCCGTGGAGCATCGTCGTCCAGGAAATCACGTCGCGTCGCGGCATCAGCTGGAAGATCGTCGAGGCGGCGTCAAGATCGCCGATCTTGGCACTGGCGGCAATGAATTCGTTCCACGAGACGAGATCTCTCTCCGGCATGGTGTCGAAGATGGATCTGGCACCGCGGGAGGAGCCGACGAGGATCACATTCCAGCCTCGAGTGTTGGTCTGTGGCATCAGGCGGAAGATCTCCCCCGCCCTCTCCATTTGCCCCTTTCTTGCGAATGCCGCGACGATCGTCGTCCAGGAAATCACGTCTCGTTCTGGCATTGCGTCGAACAATCCCGGCAGGGCGTCGGTCTGATCCAGCTGCGCGTGGATCTGTATCATCGAATTCCAGGAGGAGAGATCGCGAGCCGGCATCCTGCGAAATATTTCGAGAGCGTGGTGAGCATGGCTGTTTTGAGAGAAGGCCGCAAGAATCGAGTTCCATGACAGCGCCTCCCTCTCCGGCATCCGATCAAAGACGCTCTTGGCCTCCTCCAGATGCGAGGCCTGGCAGAAAATCCCTATCATCGCGTTCCACGCGAACAAATCCCGCTGTGGCATGCGATCGAAGAGCGCCGCCGCGTGATGGAGCTGCCCGTTCTGGGCATTCGCCGCAACGATGAGATTCCAGGAGTAGACGTTGCGCTCCCGGATCGCATCGAAGGCGGCGATGGCGTCCGTCAGGCAGCCGCAGATGCCATACATCCGGATGAGGAGATTTCCCAGCAGCCTGTCGTGGATCCAGCCCGATTGCTGGATGAGCTCGTGAGCGCGCTTGCCATCGCCCAGCGCCCGCGCATTGGCGCATTCCTGGAGACGCTGGATGCATTGGTTGTAGACCTCCCTTCTTTCTCTCTTGGCAAGCATTCATCCCATCCCAAATGCCCCAAATGCCCCAAATCCACTAGAATATTCTACGTTATTATATGTATAGAACACGTTTGGGGTTGCTCATTCATTTAGGGTTTTTGGACAATGTCGTCTCCAAGCCGGCGCCGGGAGATGGATGTGATGAAGCTGTGAGTTTGTTGTCATCGAAGCTTCCATTCTCTAATCGATCGCGCTATGGCAGCATGATGAGCGATTACAAGGTGGAAATGCTCAACGATGGCATGAACGAGTTCATTGTGGATTTTCAGGGGCCAGCAGATAGTAAAAACTCTCCTCATTCGATTTGGGATAGATCATTCCAGTTTCTGGCTTGATTTGCGATGGATTCTATTGCCAGGTCCTTATGAGAGTGGAGTGTGGAAGGTCCGCGTTGAGCTTCCCGACTCTTATCCCTACAAATCGCCCTCCATTGGATTCGTGAACAAGATCTTCCATCCGAATGTCGACGAGTCGTAAATTTTCGTTCTTGACCCATTGGCTCTGCGACTGACGGTGCTTTTCAGCTCGGGATCTGTTTGCCTGGATGTGATCAATCACACTTGGAGCCCCATGTTTGGTAAAGATTTTGTTTCTTCAGTCTTTGTTCTTCTTTTGGGTTCTAAGCTTGTATTGGTTTTGGCAGACCTCGTCAATGTTTTCGAGTCATTCCTTCCGCAGCTGCTGCTGTATCCAAATCCAAGTGACCCTTTGAATGGCGAGGCCGGGTCTCTGATGATGAGGGACAAAGAAAGGTACGAGCAAAAGGTGAAAGGTAAGAAATCCTCTAGTTTAGCTTTGAAGTTCTGTGGTGTGTTTTGGATTATAGAGTACTGCGAGAGATATGCCAAGCCCAAAGATGCGCAAACCGCTGTGGAAGAGAGCAGTGACGGGGAGATCAGTGACGACAGCTACACGTCGAGCGAAGACGACACCCTGGGCTGGCAAGCAGACCCGTGAGGAAAGAAGACGAGAAAACGTCTGATTTGTAAATAGCCAGATTGTACATAAATTGCCAAATGTAAGTAGCTCCAACGTATCCATCTAGCACAGGATCGAGATGTCAAAGGGATCACGATTCAAGAGGACTGGTACGAACGCCGTGCTGGACAGATATGGCCCAAAACACAGCCTCTCGATTTCAAAGAACAATTTCAAAGAACGAACTATCACTCTAATCCATCTAGGAAGATCAAAGGGTTTCAAAATCACTAGTTGGTGCGAGAATGGTTTTAAAACCACAAATTGGTGCAAGAAACTAGAAACAAAAGAGAGAAGATAGTGAGGAAGGAACTTGGCTGCAATTTACTACTAGTTTGTGTTGCAAACAGAAGAAATCTTTGCGTTAACTCACTTTACATGGGATCTTTCAGTGGAAAGTTACTTCCTTTTGATAGTTTTTCTCCTCCCATTTATTCCTTCTTGCGCCTCGTCTATGTGTGTGTGTGCCTCTTGGGTTGTTGTGAGCTCCAGTGGCTCCAATGTTTAGAAGAATCAACTTGCCTTCTCTACTTCTAAGTTCTTAATTTTTTTTATAGACATCGAGTAGGCAAAGTCTCTCTCCAGTCCAAACTGGCACATCTTGGCATGAGTCCCCTTCCACAGCTGCTGGGAACAAGTGCTAGAGATGTGTGAAGAAGACAGAAGCAAGTTTATTTTGTGTATTTCAATATTTGAGTCTTGATATGCTTAATGATGATGACAACATAATGATCCATGAAAGTATCTATGACCACTTGAAAATCATTTCTAATTCATTTTGTATTCTCTTATTACACTGCATGGGAGGTGGAACAGACACTTGAATCTATTGACAAGCACTTAACGAAGTACTACCTCTACTATGAAGAAGTGAATCCAGTGCAATCAACTCGACACTACACAGTGCGTTCCCCTGCCTACACAGAGTTCCAGACACAAGATATCAGCTGGGCCTGAAGAAACACTCAATCCGGGCTGTAACAACTTCCACCTTGTCAAGAACTATGATGCCCAATTCACCTTACACATACATTTCTACTGCCAGACATACTAGGTGAATCTACAGAAGTACTGCTTCAAGCAAAGACTTCCCTTACATAAATAAACAGGTCTATGTCTATAATGTTACATGAGAATCCTTTGATAAATGGAGAAAAGGTCACCTGAAAGGTGTTTCAAGGTGCTGACCATGGTCTTCACAATCTGCGCACCCGCACAGCAGTCCAGGAAAACTCTTGACCTGTTCCTTCTCCTGTCAAAGATCGATTTGGTGTTTTCTGGGTACCCACATCTCTGTGCTGCTTCATAGGGCATCGCAGTCCAAGAAACAAGATCCTGCTGTAAGATACTCCTCCCTCCTTCCAGGTCGTTACTGATCAAGTGGGAGATCGAATATGTGCTCGAACAGCTCGATCGCTCTCTCGGAATGCCCAGGAAATGCAGCAGTTTACGCCAGCTGAAAGGTCTGATTACCTGCGTAGAACGGAGGAGATTCGGGCGGCTCAAGCACAAGAAAGTGGAGGGAGTGTAGGAGGCAGGTCGACAATGATCCCAAGTGGTTTTATACCCTAACAAACAGTAATGGCTGATGTTGAACTCATTCATGCCGTAATTTCTGGCATGCATGGAAATGTAAACTTAATCTTTTCGTGCTTGGAAGTCAACCAAACTCAGTCCCACTCGATTTTCTTATGAGTGTTTTGGCAGCAGTCTCGCTCCGAACCTGTAGTTATGGTGGAGTTCACTGCGATTACGCCTCTTTGGAGGACTCTCAGCAAGCTCCGCAAGCCCGGGATTGTTATCATTGTTACGCTGATCTTATTCGCCTTCGTTACAGAGCATCTTCAGGTGAGCTTCTCAAGAGAAATTCGTGTTAATTGGCTGCTTGGAGTTTGAATTGAAGGCTGTGAACTGGAACTGGAATTGGGATTGGACCTGGGCCTTGAGCAGTCAGGAGTCTGCTTCTGCTTCAGATTCTCCAGGCTCTTTCTTCAGGCTGCAGAAGAGCGATCTGCGGGAGCTCCAGAGGTGTCTATCCCCAAATTCGGAAAATCAATGTCCTTCGTACTTCGCCTGGATTGAGAATGATCTCGCACCTTGGAAAGAAACAGGGATTTCCCAACAAAACCTCCAAGATGCTCGATCCAAAGCAGATTTCCGTGTAGTAATAGTCAACGGGACTCTCTACATGGAGCGCTACAATAAGTGCTTCGAGACCCGGGATGATTTCACGCTGTGGGGCTTGCTAATGCTGCTGAAAGAGTATCCAGGGATGGTTCCTGACGTTGACCTGATGTTCAACTGCGGAGATTGGCCACTCGTGTTCAGAGCGGAGCACCAGCCTGAGAAGAATGGATCCTGGCCTCCTCCGCCACTGTTCCTTTATTGCACCAGCAGACGTGACCACTACGACATTGTGTTTCCAGATTGGTCCTATTGGGGATGGTGAGTCTGAGTGTTTTTGGTCGTTTCGGAACTGAGCATGCACTCTGGTGTACAGGCCAGAAGTTAATATCCTTCCCTGGAGTTTAGAAAAGGGAAAAATCTTTTCTGGAGCCGAGAAACTAGATTGGTCACACAGGCAACCGATAGCATTCTGGAAGGGGAACTACGACATGGGTCCGGCTAGAGCGGACTTGGTCAAATGCACCGCCAACAACACGCACAACTACAACCTTGTAACATACCACCAGGTGAGTGAATTCTGTCAAAAGGCTTGAAAATGTTATAAAGACCTGTGCAGGACTGGTTTGCTGAAAGAGAACACAATTTTAACAATTCAGACTTGTCAAAACAGTGCCAACACAGGTGTTTCATTTGGTTGATTGCTTGCTGAGGGTGACTCTGTTTCAGGTATAAGATTTATGTCCAAGGAGGAGGATGGTCTGTCAGTTTCAAGTACATATTGGCATGCGGTTCAACAGTCCTACAAATCGAGCCGATGTTTCAGGAGTTCTTCGCCCGGTCACTGATTCCTTTCGTTCATTTTTGGCCTGTGGATCGAGACAACATTTGCAACTCGACTAAGTTTGCTGTCGATTGGGGAAATGCTCACCCAAAGGAGGTAAGACTTTGGATCTCGCCTTACTCCGTAAACCCTCTCGTGCTCCAGGCCGCTGCAATTGGGGAATGTGCAAAGTCATTTCTCGACAAAGAGCTCAGCATGGACTTCGTGTACCAGTACATGCTTCATCTTCTCCGAGAGTATGGGAAGCTGCTCAAGTTCAAGCCGGTGCCACCACCAGAAGCGCAGCGGATGACGCTGGAATCCAGCTTGCCCGGACACGAGCTCACACTACCAAGAACTGTGCCAAGACCTCGAAAGGTATGCACGCTGGCCAACAACATATCCGCTGATATGATGCTTTCCAAGCAAAGAGAAGGCTACAAGAGAATAAAGCTGCAAGCTACATAACGAAAGGTTCATAAACTTCATATTCAATTCAAATTTTACAAAGCACGTGAATATATAGCCAAGAAATCACCAGAGTTTGACATGCACTACTACCTTGGATCGGCATTCTGGATGATTAATTGATAGACACTCTATACTCTCCACTCCCTCTGAGGCCTCTCAAGTCCATTGCTCCATCGGAAAAGCGATGGCTGGCTCATGAGGTTACAAACCTGTCCTTAATGCCTTGAGGTTGCCTAACATCAAAAGAGAGACAGACAGAGAAAAGAATGTATCTTGTGTAACCAGGCAGGTTTAGGGTTCTGGGATGGTTTACAATGAATATAAACGTTTATTTGCATTTGTCAAATAAGAACGAAGAAGGTATAAAGGTTTTCAGCTTTGAAGACCAAAAAGTATTGCATATCTCGAAAAAAATTTGACAAAAATGTGATAAGGTTATTGAAAGCATCCAGGATTCCAGCAATCAGTAGGAAAGAAGCAAAAAGAAGAGAATCTATACCAACAAGCTCATCGAGACGCTCCCTCAAATTCCATTCCCATGTGTTCCTTCTTTAAGCCCATTGCTAGAGAAAACCATACCATGCTATGGTTCAATAATCACAAGAGGGACTAGAAAATCTGCTTACCGTAGTGGCCTTGCGAATTCCTCTTGGCTTGGATTACATTCTCCACCAGGTATTGCGCCGCCTCCCGCCCCTCCTGGAGATTCTTCTCAAGCTCCACCGGATCGCTCACCCGCCGCCGCTCCTCGAAGATCGATCGTACGTGCTTCGCGGCCGCGTCGATCATCGGCTTGTCGTCCTTGAATGCGACCTTCCGGGCGCGCAGCAGCGCCCGCATTACCGAGCGCGCCTCAGCCATCGCACAAACCCTAGAAATTGCGAAAGCCCTAGCACACACCAGCTCCACGTCAGAGTGCCACGTGGCCAATGGAAGGCGAGAAAATTGTAAAAGCTCGATGTTGTCATAATTTACACTACCTAGTGCCAAACCTGTCTAAAGCCAGTGCTGGCCATTGCTAGCGGCCTGCAATGCAAAGAAATCCAATCTTTCAGCATAAATCCACCAAAAAAGAGGTTTTTTTTACCTCTTTCATGTTGTAGAAGGAGCCGTGAAGTCCAGCAGGGGCTCGGCCGTTGGCCATTGCGAATCGATTTCCATCTCCAATTGGAATGCCTGCGAAGTTAAGGAAAAGAAAGCTTTAGAACAACTTTGGAGCTCTTTGGAAGTACCTGAAGGAACTGGCACGTCTCCAGGAATCCCGACTTTGACAGTGTGGTGGTCGGGGGGAATCCTGTGCTTGCGCTGGAGATTCGAAGGAGCGTTTTGGTTCTCCGATGGAACCGTCAGTGAGGTCGCGCCAATCGCGGCTTTCTCTCGTCGGAGGTCGGCCAGAGAGCCCTCGGACCGCGAGGATCGATGAGCATACGTCGTGGACCACGATCTCCCGTTGGAGCCAGCCATTTGCATGATCGCGTCTGCCTGGAATGCCACGATCAAAGCCAAAGCATGAGAAAGGAAAAATAAAAATAAATAAATTTTGACTTGGGAGTTTCTTCTCACCTTTTCCGGAGATACATCGTCAAACACATGAGCATGTCCCCCGTAGAATATTGTCAGCTGCCGAGTAGCTGACGTTGTCGAAGTCTTGTGTCTGCGGCAAGGAAAAACATTAGCTTTGTTTCGCAGTGACTCGAAGATGTAGAGTTAGCTTACGAGGGCAGTAAAGAATCTGAGCCTCCATTTTGCAGAGGAGGCTTCGGTCTGTCCAGACTAGCAGTGCGCTCAAGCGCCGGAGGCTCAGCGAGCGGTCTTGCCGACGGCAGCTTGGCATTAGCGCTGTTGATGAGTGCCGCGATGCCGCCACCTTGCAAACCTGTTCTAGATCCCTCGTCCGCTGGAGGAGGCAGAATGCTACTCGCAGGGTTGCGCGAAAACACCCCGCCAGCAGTAGCACCTGCGGTAGCACCCGAGGTGGCTTGCATAGGACGAGCTAGCATAGGCACGCCCGAAGTCGGCCTGGAAGATTCTATCCGCTTCGACGTACCCGTGGACGGATTAAAAACCGAGGTTTGGAGCCACAAGTTACCTCCAGCTTGCGAGGTTCGAGGAGGCTGCATCGTGAGGCCGAAATCACCTGTACTTGGAAGGGCCTCGTTTTCTCTTTGCTTAAACCGGGAAGCCTTGAAACAAGAAAAGAAATGCGAGGATGAGAAATTTCTGTAAGCGAGAGTGGAGCAACCATACCTTGCTAGGACGCGAGCCCTCCATCATATCATTCTCCCTGAAAGCAGCCCTGTTTGCAAGCTCCTCCCGTTTCCTCGTAACGTCATCATTCACGCAATTAGCAGCCTTGATGGCATGACTAAATGGCATCCCAGCAGGAGCTTTGCCATGGCGCCAGAGCTCTGTGAAAAGACAAGAGACTGTCAGCTTCATAGCTCCATAGCCGTGACGGAAAAAAACTTTACCCGTTCCTGGGTCGGATGAGGCCGGGAAGCTGGGACCTGGGGCCGACGATGGACATGGCGCCGAGAATGTGGATCCCCCTCTTACAGACGCCTCTCCATCCTCTTGCTCCATGAAGCCACTGTTTTGCGAAACCCTGACCGAGTCCGTCGCCGACAGCTCCGGCTGCTTTGTCTCTGGATTGGGGGCCGCGGACGAGCCCAAAAAATCCCGAAAGACAGGTTGACTTTGCTCCTCCATAACCACTAAACTCATCTCATCGCCACTTCAAGTCAGCCGAATGGTACAAAATATGTGTGCATCACCCTTGGGTGCCTGGAGCATCGTCAGCGACCACTGTTCGTTAGCTTCAGTAAAAAGAAAAAAGAAAAACGAGGAAGAGGAAGAAACAAAAAACTGGAAGGGAAGAAATAAATGAAGCCGCTAACCTGGACTTGGAGAAATCGCTTGACTCTCAAAAGCGGAATTGATGGCAGCAGTGGCAATCCAGGAGGAGCCCAGGCCAAATTTCTTAAATAGCGACCAGCTGTGTGGATGTACCACGAAATCCCGCTCACCTTGCCGGACGAGATCTATCATCTATCTATGGAGCTCACCATAATGCGGCTTTAAACCGGCAAGCATTCCCACTCATCCTCCTGGGCCGCGAGATCATTCACACTCGACTGGAATTCCATTCCAGCAGCCCACTGTACTCTAAGCCCTCTCCATCCATGAGATTTCCACAGACCTACCGTATCACGGCCCTGGAATCACGAAGAGGAGCTTCGAGCTCACAAGCCAGCCGCCGGAGAGAACAAGACGCGAAGAATCGAGCCAGCTGTGGCGCGCCGGCCGCGCTGGAGATCGTTGTCGCCCTTAGCAGGCCCTAGCGGCGAGACAATAACCCTAGCTCCAATCCCGCAAGAACGAGGGATGGGAGGGACAATCCGCTCGCGCAAGCCATAGCCTTGAGCATCATCAGACACAAGCCTGTCCACGTGTCAGGATCGAACGGTCTTAACAGTGCCACGTACGGTGGCAAGGTCAGCTGACGGAGATATTTAAAATCTGGCAGATCCAACGGCATGGGACCTGCCACGTGTCGACCACTTAACGGGAGTCTGCGCGCCCGAACGCGTGCGCGGCATAATACCAAGGCGCTGGGCATTCCAGGCCTGTAAACCGCCAGGATGGTGACACGTGTCAGACAGCCCCACGGATGTTTCGGTGTCGAAACGGCCTTGCCGTACGAGCGCCCCAAATCATGACAAACAACAAATATTTTTCTCATCAAATCCGGGAAGAATAACTGGTAACGAATCTCTGTGAGGTCTGGAGGAGAATATCCTACAGATTTAAAGCTGTTATCCGAGAATATCCCCGTGTGCACTGGGCTAGTGTGAACCCGACTGGTACAACACAACGATATCGATCCACGCACGAAACATAGAAAAGCATTTCCAATGAAGGCCACGCCTTTTTAAAATCCCACAAGTCCGGATCAATGATCACGCGATTGTTCTTAGTGCAGTCCACCTCAAACAAGAGATTCTCGCGTTTTTTTTTTGCTTGTTTCTCTCCGGCGCCGGTTGCTTGATGCGTTTTAAGAAGGAACCTTCCAAAAGTAATCCGATGGCTTTCGACTTTCACTCTACAAAGTCCAAAAGTGAAAGGAACAAACGACGAAGGAAAAGCTTACCCCCAAGTTTGATTTTTTCTCCAGGACATTGTCCTATTATCGCACTGGAAGTTAGAAAAAGGAGAGAGAGAACATAGCTTTTATGAGACCTCCATGAGCTTCTCGGCCGGAAACGCTGTCTCCGCAAGGTCGATTGCTCGTCCCAAACCCGCTGCTTTGTTTACCGTCTCGTTGTACTCCTCGTCCGGAATGCTATCAGCGACAACGCCGGCCCCCGCTTGAAGATGAGCTAACCAAGAACCGTTCTTGTCCTGGGACCTTGTGGGAAACACCATCGTGCGAAGAGCAAGTGCTACGTCCATGTCTCCATTGAAAGATATTGAGCCGATGCCACCACTATACGGCCCGCGTCGAGTAAGTTCCAGCTCGTCTATCAGTTGCATGGCTCTCACCTGATGGTGAAAACAAAGTGCACGTTAGAGCACAGTTTGCCAGTATCAGTACCTTCGGAGCACCGCTAACTGTTCCAACCGGTAGCGCTGCGCGAAGAGCGTCCCACGATGAGAGTCCCTCTTGTAACTCTCCGGTCACCTGAGCATTCAGAAAGTGGAAAATATAAAAAGAGCGAGGATGAGACAATACCGTAGAGCTGATGTGCATCACATGTGAGTAGCGCTCGACTTCCATAAACTTTTCAACCTGCACGGATCCTGCCTTGGAAACCTGCGCACTTTAAAATCAAAACAGGAGGAAAACAAAACAACGCAAAGTATATGAACCTTGCCGACATCGTTTCGTCCAAGGTCGACCAGCATCACATGCTCGGCACATTCCTTCTCATCCTTTAGCAAGCTTTCCTCCAGTTTCTTATCCTCCTCGTCCGAAACTCCTCTCCTTCGAGTTCCCGCAAGAGGTCGGTTGATGACCTTGCCCTGCAAAGTCCTCAAATAAGAACAAACCACCAGAAAAAAGCGTCCACGACTTACATGCTTGATGCGTGTGAGAATTTCGGGACTTGATGCGACCAGGATTGAGCCTCTTGCCTGCACGGAACGTTAACACGTTGAATTGGCGTAAAGTTGGACACGAACCTGCAAATAAATCATGTAGGGGCTTGGATTGACAATTCGCAACGCTCGATAAACCTCAAAAGGATCCGCGGCGGTTCTCCTCTCAAATCTCTGGCTCAATACTATCTGGAATATGTCACCGGCAAGTATGTGCTCCTTAGCAGCTAAGACGGCCCCCTTGAACTGATCAAGTGACATATTCGACTTGTTGACACGATTCCCATAATGCCCAACCGACAGGTTCACATTTCCGTGGGAAAGCCTCGGCCTAGAAAAGGAGCATCAGAACCTTTAACACATCAAGATGAGATCATCAACCACTTAACACGATGGATATTTACACTTCAGTGTTCTGAACACGATCGATAAGTTCTTGCAATCGCTTCTTTCCGTCCTGAAAAGCTGTATTCGGATCCTCGTATCTCCGGATGTCGACCCAGTGAACTGCATACGCAATCTGAAAAGAAAAGCAATTAAAGTGGAAGATTGCAACAAAGCTCACCTTTGTAACATGATCGAATACGATGACGTCTTTGTAGAGGCCCAAGTGCATATCAGGTAATCCCCTGTCGTCCAAGGGTGCACTAGCAAACGGAATCTTCTTCTTCTCGGAATACCTCACCGTGTCATACGAGAAATAACCGACCCAGCCACCTGGAAAAACGCTGTCAATCCGACTTCCACAAAACATAGCTAGCAACTTTACCACAGAAAACATTTGGAAGACCATCGACTGGCACTGGGCTCCAGTCTGAGGTGATCTCTTCCGGTTCTTTCATTGGATCGTCGACTATCCTTTCGTTTTCGTATCCATCCTCGTGGCTGATGATAGTCAGCATATTTTCCTTAGCTACAATTTCCATGGCAGGCTGCGCCCCTACCATGCTGTAGCGACCCTGGGAAAAAAAAAATCCAGGCTTTAGAACCGATACACGACACCAGAATGAATCCAAACTTACGACGTTGCTGACACCGTTTGTATGCTCCACGGATTCAAACAAGAAGCTAGGCGCTTCCCTGTCATCTTCCTTGACCAGGCATCGATAAGCTAGCACAGGAGTCAGGTGATCCGAAAATATCCGCTGGAACAGAGGTACCAGGTTCCCCCTTTTGCATGCCTCATGGAACTGCGCTTGCGCTGAAGAGCCCGATTCAAGATTGAGAGATTGAGATTGCGATCATACCTTGGGAAGAAGCCCGAACCGCGCTCCCGGATCGCCACTTGGTCAGCTGGCGCTGCCTGGGCGCGCATTTTAGCCGCAGAGATCGATCTACATTGGGAATCGGCTTCTCACCTGTGAATCCGGCGCCTTGGGAGATCCACGATGGCCTGGAACTCGAATGCGCCACACGCGGCCATCAAGAACCCTAAAAACCCCCTAAGAAAATCTGTGTTAGACTAACACCCATTGGACAGCGACAAGGATAATTTTGACTTTTGGCGCGAAATTAGAATTTGCCACGTGGTTAGGGCTTTAGTTTCCAGTTCTAGCTAGAGAGCACCCATCTCTGGTAGCCCATCCTGGTTTAACATTTGTTTTCTAGGGCTCTTTGATCTCTTTGATCTTGTGAAAAGTTACACTCTCGCTATAGCTGTCTTGCGACGATCACACTCTGATCGATCGATTATTACCGGGTAAGTTCATAGTTCCAATAATTGGAGCACGCTATGCTAAAGAAATATCATTTTAATCGTTTTTTTCCTTTCGTTCTCACCAAAAGAATGGTCTAAGCGAGAAACTAACGAGGGTGTCGTTGTCGGTGGCACAGTTCCTCGGCTATCAAACTGTGGAGCTCGCAGCGGCATGTAGCTGGGAAGAGTTCAATCTAATACTTTGATAATTGGCAAGTGGGAGTTTTCCGGAGTTTTTTTTTCATCGATCTTCCGGCCTTGTGATGGAGAAGAACGAGGTTTCGAGCTCTTTAACGAGCAGCTCCTATGGTGCTTGCCGGATGCTGAGAGATACTCTGGCAGGGCAAAAATGGCTTTCTGCTTGTTAACGCTGAGGAGGAATTTCCGAAAGTTCCTATGGACGGGATCTAAAGGGAAGAGATTCATGTCGGCGGTTGCTACTGAGATGGAGCTCGACTCAATCAATCCCAGGAGTTCGGGTCGGAATCCTTATCCACGGAGGAGTCTCAAGTCTTCGATTTGGATTAAGCTCACTGTCTTCATTGGAACTCTGGTAAGTAGCTTTCAATCACTTCACTGTTGCTTCTCTTGTTGAGAGGAGTTCGTTTTTTCTTTCCTCTTCCGGACTAAAGTCTTTGGTGTTTTTTCGCAGGTTGTTTTGTCGTCTGGAGTTTTAGCTGCTGTTTTATGGCTCAAGACTCGAGAGCAGCTCTCGAAAGAGATTGAAAGGCGTCTTGTGGCCGTATCGATTCTGAGAAGGGGGGAAGTTGATGACTACTTCATCGGTGAAATTGACAAGATGGTCTTGATTTCTTCGAGGATACAGATTATCAATTATTTGGCAAACCGGTCAGAGGTTTCCAAAGCCACTGCGGAGTATGATCTTCGGTCGGCTATCTCGGCGATTTCCGAATTTAAGAGTGCTGCCATCTTCGATTCGAGTGGAAAGTTGCGGATTGCCACTGAAGATACTTTTGAGGAGAAACTACAGTTTAAGAATCCCGAGATGAAAAGTCCGGTGCACATCGAGCTCCCCATACTTGAAGGCAACACCTGGAGCTATAATATTTCCAAAGGGATTTACATGGTAAGCTTTCGTCTTTTTCCTAGATTTCTCGCCTGTCTGTGGTTTTCTTTTATGAACTTGTCTCTCACCCCGTCTCTCACATTTACTTTTCTTTTTGAGCTCCATGTTTCTTGAGTGCTCTAGTTTGTTTTTTAATGTGATTTGTCATTTGATTGCAGCTTGGCTTTGTGTAGAATGACACTCGGATTGGCATGCTGATTGCAAGGATCAATGCGACAACTCTTGCGGATCTCATTTATGAAAGGATCGGGCTGCAAAAGTCTGGAGAACTGCTCGTCGGGGTTCCAATGAACAACAAAACTTTTCATTTGGTGATGCCTCCACGCATGAATCCGCAAGTCACAAGCTTGCCTTGGAAAACAGCGTTAGACGCTGCGATGCAAAAGCGATCCGGAGTGCTCCACCAACGTGACTACAGAGGAGTGAAGGTGATATGTGCCTATACTCCAATGGGATACTCAAATTGGGGTCAGTGTATAAGTTTGTTTTTCTTTGTTCCACCACCTCTTTTTTATACTCTGTTTTGTTTTACAGTGCTACTTGCGAAAGTAGACACGCGAGAAGCTTACGCTCCCGTTGACAATATAAAGATTGTGATAAGCATTATGATCGTCATAACGCTAATACTTGGGATTATAGCTTCTCTATGCGTTGCAAAGGTATCTTTTTGTTTTTCTCCTCTAGAATCCTTGTTAACATTCGTGTTTGTCAATTGCTGAAGATATTTACTTCTCCTATTATCGAGCTTGGACGCGTCGCGGCAGCTCTAGGTGAAGGCGACATGGGGGCGAGAGTAAACATTGGATGCGTCTGGTTTCGTGACGAGATCCATGAACTACAAGTGATATTTAATAGCATGGCTGACCAAATATCGAATCACCATGCCACACTCGAACAGAAGGTACCATTGACTTCTCTTCTTTCTTTTTTTTCTTTCTCTCTCTCTCTCTCTCTCTCTTTTCGATACATGGACTTTCTGTTTCCAGGTGTTCGAGAGAACTAGAGCATTGGCACGGGCAAACGACGAGCTTGCCTCGGAAATCGACGAACGCAAGCGAATTGAGGTGGAGCTTCAAATGGCAAAAGATGCAGCCGTTGCTGCGGACAAGGCCAAGTCCGAGTTCCTGGCGAACATGTCTCATGAGATCCGAACGCCTCTCAACGGTATCATCAACTGCACAGAGCTTTGTTTAGACACACGGACGTCTCTCGAGCAACAGGAGTATTTGGATCTCGTATGTTCTTATACCTTTCGCTTGCTGCTTACTAACCTTTTGGGATTCTAACAGGTTAGATTTTCGGCAAAGCATTTGTTGAGAATCATCACTGATATTCTCGACTTCAGCAAGATCGAAGCTGGAAAGCTGGAGATGGAGGAGATACAATTCTCTTTGTACGATCAGCTCGAGCATGCGGTGTCTGTGCTGGCCGCTCGAGCACATAAGAAAGGCCTTGAGATTGCTTGGAGGGCCGGCCTGGACGTTCCAGATCAACTTATTGGAGATCCTGGGAGGTTGTTCCAAATATTTGTGAACTTGATAGGTAAATATTTTTTTTTCATTTTCTTTATTTTACAAATGGTGTTTTTCTCGTTCTATACAGGTAATAGTATCAAATTCACTGAAAAAGGCGAAGTTGTGGTTTCAGCTCAAGTGCACAACATCTATCGTGATAGAGTTGAACTTATTTTCGCTGTGAAAGACACTGGTGAGCCTCTATTGTTTCAAGAGTACGAGTTCTACATTCATGTACTGCTTGCTCCATAGGTGTTGGCATTCCAAAGGCAAAGCAATCGTTGTTGTTTCAAGCTTTTTCACAAGTGGACTCGTCCACAACAAGGTGGTTTTTGCCGTAGTAAAACCGATATTTTCAGTTTTATTTCTTTTTATTTTTTTATCTGCAGGCTATACGGTGGGACTGGACTTGGTTTAGTTATCTCTTCCAAACTTGCTGCGGCAATGGCAGGAAAAATGTGGGTGGAAAGTGAAGGAAAAGGAAGCATATTTTACTTCACAGCTGCTTTTGACATTCCACCCTCTTGCGATCTTCCTTTGTCTCCAAAGATCGATGGCTTGAAAGGTATCAAAGCTTTGGTCGTGGATGATCACATCACGAGCCTTGGAATCCTCGTGTCTATGCTCAAGGTAAATTAGATAATTTTGTTTGCGCAGTGTATTTACGATGCTTACATGTCTCCAGGCTTGGGGAATGATCGTCGAAACAAGTCTCACCGTTGAAGATGCAAAACATGCCTTGCAACTTGCTTCCCACTCGAAACCATTTCAAGTCTTACTGGTGGATTTATGGCAGCCTGGAAGCAAAGCAGCAGAGCTAGTTCACTACGTGCAAGAGCGGCCGGGCCTGATAGGAAAAAGCCGGATCAAAGAGATCAAAAGGCTTTTGTCAAGCGGTGGTAGCGTTGGGAACTGCTCTTCTACAATCCAAATGCTAGTCGAAGAAGTCGACCCGGAGTTTCCAGCGGGAACTCACCACACCGATAGGCGGGCCTTCGAGAAAAGTGGCTCCTCGGAGCTGCCGCGGCTTGTCGACTCAACAGAAGTTCCTTCCATTATCATGCTTACTTCGATCGACCACACGGACGGTGAGAGGTAAGTGTTTTTTACTTTCATTTTCTGAAATAATAGCTAAAAACTCTTCTCGTGTGGAAGGTGTCGGAATCTAGGCGTGGAACTCTACACATCAAAGCCGATCAAGCGTGCTTTGCTGATTCGTACACTACAAGCTGCTATTGGAATTCACAAGAATGATGCTCTAAGGATAGAGCACTCGCAACAAGTACGTTTCTCGATTTTCTTACACTCTCCTTTTAAGTTCGATCGTTCTTCTCTCGGCCAGGCTAAGCTAGAGGCTTCTCCGGAGGAACACAAAAGTCTCAAGATCTTAGTAGCCGAGGACAACATCGTCAACCAAAGGGTGGCCGTATCACTGCTTCGAAAGTGGGGTCACTCGGCCGTGATCGCGTGCAATGGAGCCGAGGCAATCGAGAAAGCATCGCAAGAAACGTTTGATCTCATCCTGATGGACGTAAGAACTTTTGCTCGTGATCTTTCAAGGGCGAGCTTCTAATCTTCTACCTCTCTAGGTGCAAATGCCAATCTGCGATGGATTCCAAGCGACCACCAAGATCCGGGAGATGGAGAAGAACAAAGGGATGTCTTCCACTCCCATCGTCGCCATGACCGCTCACGCAATGTTTGGAGATGGCGATCGCTGCATCGCTGCTGGGATGGATGGCTACATCAGCAAGCCACTAAACGCGAAGAAGCTCCAAGAACTGCTAGTGACATCGTCAAAACTTTTGTAAATAAAACCTGTAAAATACTGTTCTTCATCCAACGGCCAGCAATCATTTGGGTGTGATCCGGATCCAACGGCCACAACAGCGAGGTAATTTTAACCTTTGTACATTTAGCCGTCATTCATACTAAAGGCCAGGGATAATTTAGAGAACGTTCATTCTTTTGGTCTAGCGATGGAGGCGTCGAGGTTTCTCGCCGCCTTGGCCACGGCGATGGTACTACTGCTCGGATCGGTCGCCATAGCTCAAGAATCTCCAGCGCCGGCGCCAGCGCCACAGAGCGACGGTAAGAAATCGCGAAATCGCGAAAACCTAGGCGTTTTTGCAAGATTTCCTCTCCCCGGCCCTCTTTCTCGCTCTTTCTTGCTAGATCTTTGCGGTTCTGGGCAATGTAGATCGAATCTAACGGGCTATTGTCTCCAGGGGTCTCGATCGATCAAGGAATCGCGTACGTGCTCATGTTCGCGGCGCTCGTCCTCACATACCTGATTCATCCGCTCGACGCCTTCCCTTACAATCTTTTCTAGAAATCTCGCAAGAAGAACCAGGGGCATCGCGGCGGCGGCAGCATTGTACCATAGCACGATTGGAATTGATCGATTCTTTCTCTTCTTTTTCTTTCTCTTCTTTTGATCGTTGGTTCGTTTGCAAGAGTTTTTGATTGCCCAAGTGTGTGGCGAAAGAAATGAAAATGACCAAAGAAAAAAATTCGTCCAGTACAACGTTTGCCAGAGTGTCCACATGGATGGAGCTTTAAAGTGTGCCACGATACCTTTGGAACTAGCTTAATTTCTAGGTTAGTGACGTGGACGCCACGTGGATGCCTGTAACGGCCAAAATTGCTTTAGGCCAAGCGAATATGCTCTCGCCAGTAGGGTTTGGGAAGAACGGCCATGGGGAGGAGGTCGTAGCGAGGCGCTGGCGCTGTTCTTGGGAGATTTCTCGATCGCTGGGAAAATCTTGAGCTGCCTCTCTGCGCGATCGCGTAATCCAGGGATGTTTGTGGGAGCAGAGGTAAAATTTCGCGCTCGTCGTGACGGATTTCTTACTCGGGATCAGGTGCAGTAGCTAGTGCCTTGCAGTGCGTGACGCTGGACGGTCTCAAAATGCTGGAATTGAAGAACGGCATTGGTGCCAAGCGATATGTCAAAGGCATCTCTCTGGGAGAAGGAACTTATGGAGTTGTGTTTAAGGCTCTGGATACACAGGTAAATTGGTTCTTCACTTATTTCTCTTTCTCGCGGATTCAAATCATTCTTGGTAACGTTGGTCTTGTTGTTTTCGTCGCAGACAAATCGCACAGTCGCCGTAAAAAAAATCCGGCTCGGCAAATACAAGGAAGGAGTTCATGTCACCGCATTGAGGGAGATCAAACTCTTGAAAGAGCTCCGCGATCCCAACATCATCGAGCTCATTGACGTTTATCCACACAAAAGAAATCTACATCTGGTCTTTGAATTTATGGAGAGCGATCTGGAAGCAGTGATCCGTGACCGAAACATTCTCTTATCGCCCGCAGACGTGAAGTCTTATATGCAAATGTGTCTCCGGGGACTCGCTCACTGCCATAAGAAGTGGGTTTTACACAGGTAAGAAGTCTGGCACCTTTTGGTCTTTGTACTTTGTTTCCTTCTCTTTCTCTCATGTTTTAAGTGTGGCAGGGATTTAAAACCCAACAATCTGCTTATATCTTCCGATGGACAACTCAAGCTCGGAGATTTTGGTCTGGCTCGCATTTTTGGAAGCCCAGACAGAAAGTTCACACATCAGGTGCGTCTGTGGACACTTAAGCGGAAGCGTGAATGACCGTTGGGCAGTAATGCAGGTTTTTGCACGGTGGTATCGTTCTCCTGAGTTGCTTTTTGGAAGCAAGCAGTATGGATCGGGAGTGGACATTTGGGCCGCGGGCTGTATTTTCGCAGAGTTGCTTCTTCGCAGGCCTTTCCTACAGGTACGGTTAGCACACTCTGCAGGATCATTTTAACTTAAATACGCTTTCTTCATTAACAGGGTTCGAGCGACATAGACCAACTTGGAAAGATATTCCAAGCGTTTGGAACTCCGCGAGAAACGCAGTGGCCGGATATGACTTCCCTTCCAGACTATGTCGAGTTCCAGTTCACTCCGGCGCCTGCACTGCGCTCCCTCTTTCCCATGGCGACGGAAGACGCCTTGGACCTCCTGTCTAAGATGTTCGCCTTTGATCCCAAAGCGAGGATAACTGCACAGCAGGCTTTAGAGCACAGGTTTGATCCTCTGTTTCGTGAATGATAGATTACTGACCGTGCTTTCTTGTCAGGTATTTTTCCACGGACCCTGCTCCAACTAAAGCTCACTTGCTTCTGAGACCAGCTTCAAAAGCCGAGGGTATGAGGCCACCACCGGAGCTGGCTTCTCCCAAGGAACCAGTAGTGCTCTCACCTCCTGCCAAAGCGAGGAGGATATCTTTGTTCCCCGGCGTCGCGGGCGCTGAACACATCCATCACTCGAAAGAATCCAAAGATGGCTCTAGCGCAGCCACAGTTGGAGAGACACCGAGTGATCACAGCGGAATGGCAATGTCCGTGGACGCAAGGATGACCATTCGTCCAACGCTCAGCAGGTAATAAAGAAAAAAACCTATCTCTTTCTCATTTTACATTCTCTGGTAACCAAGAGCGATCTTTATAAGTTTTCCCGTGTTCTTGCAACAGTACTGACAGATCTTACCTGAAGAGAAAGCTTGACATGGATGTTCATTTTGAAGATGAGAGACACGTTTAGCCATCCGCCTTTCAAATTGTTGCACAACCCGAAGAATAAGCGAGCAAGAGGGATTGCTTCGTAAGTTTTGTACAAGTAGCTCACACAAGGCCGATCAATATTTTTTACGAGAAGAGGTATGGAACTTTTTATCTAGCTCACTCCAATAGTGCTTCGTTTCATAAAAAAAACGCCAGTTGACTGTGTTACGTAAGTTCCAGAAAATATGCGAGCGCCTAGCCGAACGGGCATTGTCTTTACGAAATTCTCGGCCTCGCCAACTTGGCCGGCCCGGTCGATGGAGTTAAACTTGGCTTCACTCCGTGGAGCAGCATGAGCTTAAACAGCCGGAGTGCCCGTTTCTCAGCCGTTGTCCCGAGATTACGCCGAGACCCACCATCTTCTTGCTTTGATAAACTCTAACTCCTAGACCAGCGCATTCCCGACGTGTAATCCACAGAACCAATTCTATCGCTTATAGGGTGACGCTTCTCACCACGGAAAATTCAATTATCCTTTACTTTTAATTGTTACCTTGTGAAGGAAACTAGGGACAGAAGTATTGCATTTGGAAACCTGGATGATTTGTAATTAAATTTGTGGACTTTTAGGGTTTATAGAAACAGAGAGATTAGGGTTTAGCGATGGCTGGCATTGGCGGCACTGGTGTCGCTGCTCACCACGCCTCAATCAATTTCACCAAGGGATTGCACCTCGACGATGCCGGGCCGCGGAAAATGTAAGTGTGTGGCGATCGATCGTCGATCGATCGAAACATTGGCTCATCCGTCGCGGTTTTGTTGCAGCAAGAGCATGCGATTTAGCACAATGTCGTCGGAGGAGGTCACCAAGACGGCGGAAGTCCAGATTTTCGAGCACAGCTTGTACCAGCTGCCGGAGAGGAAGCCTCTTCCTTATGGAGTTCTCGATACTCGTCTGGTAAAAGCCATTTTCTTTTTCTTTTCTTTCTTTTCTCACGATTGTAGTTTCATCTCAGGGTACTTCTAACAAGAAGGGACAATGCACGACTTGTGATGGGAAGCTAGCCGATTGTCCTGGGCATTTTGGCTACATCAAGTTGGAGCTTCCAGTCTTCCATATCGGCTACTTCAAAGACATTATAGTCATTCTTCAGTGCATCTGCAAGGCAAGTTTTTCGTTTCTGGAAGTTGTAGCTTCACGTAAAAAGAAGCTCCTTTTTTCAGGGATGCGCTCGCATTCTCTTGCCAGAAGAAGAGCGGCAGAAATGGCAACGACGCATGCAAAATCCTCGGAGTGAAATACTCAGAAAGAAGGAATATCTCAAGAAGATCAACGATCTATGTAAGAAAGTTCGAGCTTGTCCCAGGTGCGGAGACATTAACGGTACGTATTTTCTGAAGCCACTTTGATGTGATTATCAAAGCGCGAAATGGTTTATTCCAGGCGTCGTGAAGAAGTTGGGCTCAACTCTGAAGATTATTCACGATAAATATGCTAAAAACTATGAAGCGTTCGAGGAAATGGCACATAAGTTTGACGATGCAGTGAAGGTGAACAAGGAGATGAAGGGGTACATGAAAAATATACAAGAAGATCTCACACCTCTTAAAGTACTTGGCCTTTTTGAGAAAATAATTGGAGAGGTAAAGGCAAGGTCTTTTACTTTGCATATATGAATCCACTAATGCAGGACTGCGTGGTTCTCGACCTTGTGGATAGGCCTGAACAGCTTATTGTCCAACACATGCCAGTTCCTCCTGTTGCAATTCGACCATCGGTGGAAATGGACGCTGCTGTTGGGAGGTACGTGCTTAATGCGTTGAGATAAACTATTTATATTCTTTTTCTGCAGCAACGAGGATGATGTTACCATAAAACTTATGCACATCATTGAGCAAAATAATCAAATACGAGCTTGTTTGGAGTCGGGATTGTCAATCGCCAAATGCATGGTATGGCATATTTGTTTTCCCCGTCATAGTTATAATTCTGTTTCGTCGTCAGGAAATATGGGACTTCCTTCAGATTCAGGTTGCTATGTATATCAACAGCGAGCTTCCGGGTCTTCCTCCAAATATGCAAACTGGAAAGCCTCTACGAGGTTTTGTCCAGAGGCTTAAAGGAAAACAAGGACGATTTCGGGGTAACCTTTCTGGAAAGCGTGTAGATTTCACGGGAAGAACTGTGATCTCACCTGATCCGAATCTTAAGGTGTCTGAGGTACGCTCATTTTTTCAGTGTTTTCTATTAGCTAGCTCCCTGGAACTCCAGGTTGCCGTGCCAATTCTAATGGCTCAAACACTTACGTATCCGGAGAAAGTTTCTGCTCACAACATTGAGAAACTCCGGCAAAGAGTTATAAATGGCAAGGAAAAGCATCCTGGAGCAAATTTTGTTGTGTTTCCAGACGGTGTTAAACGGTATGTTTATTGTGTTTATCACTGGACAGAACATCTAAAATTCTTTCTTTGCTTGTAGGTTTTTGAAGTTTGGAGATCGGAAACGGATTGCATCGGAGCTCAAGTATGGAGATGTTGTGGAAAGACATCTGGAGGATGGTGACATTGTTCTTTTTAATCGGCAGCCTAGTTTGCATCGAATGTCTATAATGTGTCACAGGGTACGTAGTTTTTTACTTTTGTTTTTTCTTCTTACGTTTGACATGTTTGAAGGCTCGAGTTATGCCCTGGCGTACTTTAAGGTTCAACGAATCCGTTTGCAATCCCTACAACGCCGATTTCGATGGAGATGAAATGAATATGCATGTTCCTCAAACAGAAGAAGCCCGAACAGAAGCATTGACACTTATGGGGGTAAGAATGCTTTGTTTCGCTTTAGATTCAAATAATGAAAGTCGATTTTCAGGTGCAAAACAACTTGTGCACACCCAAGAATGGCGAAATTCTGGTTGCATCTACTCAAGATTTCTTGACGTCGTCATTTCTTATAACCAGGAGAGATACTTTTTATGATCGCGGCCAGTTTGCTCTTATGTGTTCGTACATGGGTGACGCCGTGGAGCATATCGATCTTCCTACGCCAGCCATACTCAAGGTGGATATTTTTCTCATACTTTCAGTATAATTTTACGCGATTTTGCAGCCTGTGGAATTGTGGACTGGGAAGCAACTTTTTGGCGTACTAATACGCCCGAGTGCACGTATCAAAGTCTTCTTGAACTTCGTGGTTTGCGAGAAAAACCACAAGAAAGGGACAGAGACAATGTGCCCAAAAGATGGCTATGTCTTCTTTAAAAACAGTGAGCTGATATGCGGGCAACTTGGTAAAGGAACCTTAGGTATGTAAATGTTTTCTTTGCTCTTATCGTAAATTTCTAGCACAACCCTGCAGGTAATGGAAGCAAGGATGGCCTGTTTACAGTGTTACTTAGAGACTACGGCGAACAAGCGGCTGCATCATGCATGAATCGGCTTGCTAAGCTCAGGCATTCCTATTTGTGATTTTTTTCATTTCACTAAACTCTTTTGTTTCAGTGCGAGGTGGATAGGAAATCACGGTTTTTCGATAGGAATTGACGACGTTCAGCCCGGAAGCCGCCTGACCGTAGAGAAGGAGAAGCGGATTGCGGAAGGCTATCGAGCGTGCGACAAGCATATCTCTCTGTTCAACAAAGGACAGCTTACTCTTCAACCTGGTTGTGATGCGGCACAGACTTTAGAATCGGAGATTACCGGAGAGCTGAACAAAATTCGAGAAGCTGCAGGGCAGGTTAGAGTTTTTAAGTTGGCAGCGTCTTGTGAAGCTTTTCTTTTCTTTTCTTTTTGTTGCAGGTGTGCGTGAATGAGCTCCATTGGCGAAACAGCCCATTGATCATGTCCCAGTGCGGGTCAAAAGGTTCTGTGATCAACATCAGTCAGATGATTGCTTGCGTCGGGCAGCAGTCTGTGAGTGGCCATCGTGCTCCGAATGGATTTATAGAACGCAGCCTTCCACATTTTCCCCGAAATGATAAAACTCCTCAGGTATGTTCTGTTCCTGTTTTTGTATCAATTTCATCTGACCAGCTTGTTTCCAGGCGAAGGGGTTTGTTGCGAATTCTTTCTACTCCGGTCTAACGGCGACAGAATTTATTTTCCACACCATGGGTGGGCGCGAGGGTCTCGTTGATACCGCAGTAAGTCTCTCCTCTCTCTTTTACATTGATTTACTTCCAGAATTTGACGTGCCATTGCAGGTGAAAACTGCTGAAACTGGATACATGTCCAGACGTTTAATGAAAGCTTTAGAAGATCTTTCATGCCAGTACGATGGTACAGTTCGTAATTCATCTGGCGTAATTGTCCAGCTTATCTACGGGGATGACTCAATGGATCCCGTAAGCATGGAGGGTCAGAACGGAACGCCCTTGAATCTGGACCGCGTACTAATGAAAGCTAAGGTACCTTACAAAACTTCTTTAGATTTGTTTCTAATCTGTTATCTCAGGCAACTTGTCCACGGGGAGCGACTCCGGCTTTGCCGCCTTCTGAGCTTTGGAAGATCGTCGAGTCTAAGTTTTCACAAGATGGTTCAGAATGCTCTATGGCCTTTCTGGACTCGCTAAGGAAATTCTTGAGGAAGGAGTTCGATACAATCTCTTCTACAAGGAAAAGACTGTCCTTGCCACTAGAAGACTTTGGTAACTTAGACGATGAAAATGTTGCGGCAAATGTTTCTGGGCTCACTTCCAGACAGCTAGAGGTTTGTAAAGTGTAATATATTGTGATCGCTGCCTCTGACGTTCCTATTGCAGGTCTTTCTAAACACGTGCATTGGTCGGTACCATAGAAAGAAACTGGATCCTGGAACTGCTGTTGGAGCCATTGGAGCTCAAAGTATTGGAGAACCTGGAACGCAGATGACCTTGAAAACTTTTCACTTTGCTGGAGTGGCTAGCATGAGTAAGTCTCTCTCGTTGTTCTCTTGCCTTTCTAACTGCCTTTGCTTTCAAAGATATCACTCTCGGTGTTCCTCGTATTAAAGAGATTATCAATGCCTCCAAAAAGATCAGTACTCCTATCATCACAGCTAAATTGGTTTCAGAAAACGATGTGAAGGCAGCTCGAATTGTCAAGGGCCGTATCGAGAAAACTGCACTTGGAGATGTAAGTCAGAAGTTTGTTTTGCTTCTTATTTTTAACGGTGAATTATAAACCAGGTTGCTAAGAGCATAAAGATAGTATTGCGGCCCGGCCAGGCATTTGTCTCAATTAAGCTGGACATGGATAGAATTTACTCTCTCCAGCTCGATATCAGAGCTGAAACAGTCGCAGAAGCCGTTCTCAAGTTCCCCAAGATAAAATCTATGAAACTCAAGGAACAGGTAAGGTTTTGTGTTCATTGAGTTAACATGTACTTGGCCTTGTGTGCAGCACGTTAAGGTGAACGACGACCGAAGCATTTCCTTAACAACACCTGAGTCCGACCGGAAAAAGATGCTGTTTGCCCTTCATTCACTGCAGAACATGCTTCCCAAAGTCATCGTGAAGGTAAACAATATGCTGTCTCGGAACCATCTCAAATAAATGGCAGGGAATTCCGACTGTTGAGCGAGCGGTCATAAACCAGGAGAAAGGAAAATACAACCTCTTGGTCGAAGGGTAAGAATCACTTTTTTTTCTTGATTGATCATCTTTTGTTTCTTCTTTTATGCAGCACAAATCTCAAAGCGGTCATGGGAACCGAAGGCGTCGACGGGAGAGAAACGACGAGTAATCACATCTTTGAGACTGTGGAGGTGCTTGGAATCGAAGCAGCGCGGAATGGAATCATCAAAGAGATTCAGTACACAATGGGAAGCCATGGAATGAGCATCGATCAACGACACATGATGCTGCTCGCGGACGTGATGACTTACAGGGTAAATGCTGAAGTCCTCTTTCTTTTTTCTTTTTTTCTTTTGCAACGATTGTTTGATCCACATTTCCAGGGAGAATTCTGGGGATCACGAGGTTTGGGATGGCGAAGATGAAAGACAGCGTTCTCATGCTCGCATCGTTCGAGAAGACGACGGATCATCTCTTTGCCGCGTCTGTCCACGGGAGAACCGATCAGATCGAAGGAGTGAGCGAGTGCATTATCATGGGAATTCCAATGCCGCTTGGCACGGGGCTCTTCAAAGTCAGGCAAAAGTAAGTTCTTAGAGTTTTGGATCCTCTTCATCAATCCTTCTTTCTTTTAATGTGTTCTTCGCAGAGTTGGAAGAATTCCAAAGCTTGTTTATGGACCTCCTCCGCTCTTTTCTTGAGAAGAGAGTAAAGACGAACTTACAAGTGAGATAGAGTCCCTGGGCGGTGGATATGATCAATGCGGATGGGAACTTGCGAGAAGAAGGCGTGGAAGGGGTCGTGGTGACGATGGGGATGGTGGTGGGAGAAGGCGATGATGAAGGATGTGTTCCTACTTCCGGTTCTCACTCTGCTTTCGGGACTGGACTCGGTTTCTTTTACCTCCTCGCGCTCGCTGCTATCCGCCGTAAGCTTTCTCTTCTTTGTTTTCTTTCGTTTCTAAAGTTTGTTTCCATGGTCGCCTTTCTTTTTTTATTGAAGAGCCTGAATGCTTCCTTGCTATGCTTGTTTGTGCTTCTTCTTTCGTAAGTTCTTGGTCAGCTTCTACTGTTTTGGGTTTTTTGTATGCCTCATAACAACTGACTAAACATGTCTCTAGTGCAGTCGTCTTGGACGCTTATGTTCTTGGATCATGGCCTGGAGATGCCAGTTCAAAATTTTTGCAGTGGTGAAACACCAGTTTGATCTGTTATCTCAAGGCGTGACCGAGGTCGATTCTTTCTTCGAAGGCGAGTGCGAGTTGCCATCTTAATGGCCGTAATGCTCACTGCTCACTCAGCTTTATATCACAACATCAGACAAGGTACGCCAATTACAGCAATTTGAAGAAAGCAAATGAGCGGCAATGGTCTTTTGAGAAACACTTCAGAGGAGAAAAACAGTGCCTTGTCCCTTTCTAATGTAAATATTCTTTGTACTGTAACACATTCGGGAGAGACAAGGATCGTCCTGCCGTCAGTAGGAAAGAGCTTGTGAAGTTGCTCTATACAGTGATTCGAATTCTTTGCTCCTCCTTTTTCATTGCTATAGAATCAGTCCTCCTCGCTTGCACAGGTCAGCCTTATCAAAGGACAATTCTAAGCCCAAATTCAAGTCAGTGATAACTAAGAAAAGCAAAAACCAAAATGAAAATAAATCTTTTTACAAAGTAATTGATATCTGATTTTTAGTGGGTATAATTTATTTAATATTCATAAATACACTTTGAACTATATGATAATATCTAATATTTTGCATTTAAAGACATACAGCTCAATCATTCACCAACCATCTTTATCATGGTAGTAAATACGTAATTGTAAGTTTTTAATATATGTGATAGTTGCTTCATACTTGCTTTATAATTTTAATAGATTTTATGGAAACTACATATAGTGTAAATATAGAAAGAATAAAAAACTAACAAATCACTTTAACATCCACTCGTAACAAATGCCTCAATGAATACAGCATTACAGATAAATAGATAGATAGGACTAATTTGAAGTGTTTCCTTTTCTTAAGGTTGAAGTAGCAGATGGATGACTTGAAAAGATGAAAGCAGCGACAACAAAATGCCAAAGCTGCCATGGCCGGCATTCACATTCGAATCCCACCTTCGCTGCGGCCACCTCTCTCAGGCCCGCCACATCCTCCTCACTCGCCACGCCGCACAGCCCCTGCCCTCATCCACCACAGTCGCAATGTACACGGCCCTCATCGGAGCCTACGCTCGCAGCAACGACCCCTCTGCAGCATTCACCCTCTTGCGGCAAATGCAAGCCGATGGAATCCCCCCCAATCGCATCACCCTCGTCGAGATCCTCTCAGCCTGCACGGCTCTCCACTCCATCCACCTGGGCGATCGCATCCACCAGTGGATCATCGATCTGGGCCTTCACCGAGACTCCGTCCTTGGCACCGCGCTCCTCACCACTTTCGCCAGATCCGGCAGCCTTGATCGCGCAAAGGCCGCCTTCACGGCCATCGCTCGCAAGGATCTCATCGCCTGGAACGCGATCATCACGGCCACCTCTCACTCCAATCGATCCCACGAAGCCCTGGATCTCTTCCGGAGGATGCAGCTGGACGGGATCCATCCAAACGCCATCACGCTCGTCGCGGTGCTCTCGATCTTCCAGGAGAGCTCCACAGACGCGAGGGCGGTCCATTCTCTGGCGATGGAGAGCGCGATGGACGAGAGCTCGGTGGCGGTCGGGAACTCGATCGTAAACATGTATGCTCGCTGCCGGGATCTCGATCGAGCTCGGCTGGCCTTCGCAAGGATCCAAAGCAAGAACGTCGTGAGCTGGAACGTGATGATCTCTGCGCACTCTCAGCTCGATCGTCTCCATCCTCTGGCAATGTTTCACGCGATGATGCTCGAAGGGATCAAAGCCGACGCCACCACCTTCGTCAACCTCGCGTCTGGACTGGCCGCTCCATCGCCGCTGCGCGATGGAGAGCTCCTCCATCGCTGTGCGCGCGAGCTCGGAGGTGGAAGAACTTTGATCTACGACGCCGTGCTCGCCACTTCTCTCGTCACCATGTTTGCGAAGTGTGGAAGCGTCGCGCATGCTCGAGACATCTTCCACGAGAACTTCCATTGCCATGAAAGAAATCCGGTAGTTTGGAACGCGATTATCGCAGCTCTCGTCCAAAACCACGACTTCTCGGACGCTCTGCTGCTCTTCCGGACCATGCAGCTCCAAGGAGTCCCATCCGACGCCATAACTTTCGTGTCCACGATCGATGCTTGCACAGCTCTGGAAGATTTCTCCACTGGCCGAGCTCTTCACGGGATCATCTCCGAGTCGAGCTTGGAAACCGATACTATCGTCGCCACCGCGCTCGTCAACTTCTACTCAAAGTCCCGCCGCCTCGACGCCGCCACCGCAGCTTTCCAGCGTATCCCCGAGCCGGACCTCGTCGCTTGGAACGTTCTCATCGCGGCTCACGTCGACAACGCCGACTCCTCCACGGCACTCGAGATCTTCTTCCACCGGATGGAACTTAAGCCTGACCGGATCACTTTCATCACCACTCTCGCTGCCTGCGTCACAGCCTCGGCTCTCCCACTCGGCCGCCGCCTCCACGAACAGATCCGGCAGCGAGGACTCCACTCGGACGTGATCGTCGCCAGCGCTCTCGTCGACATGTACTCCAAGTGTGGCAGCCTGGAGGAAGCATACAAAGTTTTCAGCACCATGGCTGGGAGAAGGAACTCGGCTACCTGGAATGCGCTGATAGCAGGGCACGCACAGCACGGATTCAGTGGCCGAGCTCCGAGCTTGGTCCGGGAAATGCAGCTCGAGGGAGTGGAACCCGATAGCCTGACTTACGTGGGACTTCTCCTGGCTTGCAGCCACGCCGGGCTTCTGGAGGATGGTTGCAAGTTCTTCGCGGCGCTGGTGGAGGACAAGCGTTTGGCGGTCAAGGAGGAGCACTACGGCTGCGTGGTTGATCTTCTGGGCCGAGCTGGGAAGCTCGCTGAGGCCGAAGAGTTTTTGCTGGGTTTGCGAAGGGCCATGCCGGTTGCTGCGAGTGCTGCAATGTGGACGTCGCTTCTCTCGGCTTGTGGAGTTCATGGCGATATGGAGTTGGCGAGGAGAGCTGCTCGAAGAGTGCTCGACCTGGAGCCTCGCCATCCTGCTGCCTTTGTCGTGCTATCGAATTCTTTGAGCCTCTAAGATACTTTCCCGCTTCTGTTGTTCGATTCTCTGGATGATACTCGAGAGAGCATTGGAGGCAGCGTCGTCGTCCTCAGTTAGAGGCTTGAGAGCTAGCAAGCGCTCCATAAAACCAGCATCTGAGAAAAACAGAGAAATATCTCAGAAGGAAACGTTTGAGTCGATGATTTTACCTTCGCAAACTTCCTTGGCAAGGGCTGGCTTCTGCGAAAAAAGGTTGGCAACCAAGACCATCGCCGTTACTGCTGCCACTCCGACCTGCAATCAAACCAGTCGATCAAACGGGGAAGAAAAATCTCAAAAGAACTACTTCGTCCTTCCAAGAAAGGTGGACAACTTGAAAGACTGCGGCTGTCAGTTCATTGTCGTCCGCGATGGATCCGGAGAACTCAACCGAGAGAGATACCTCGAGAGCGACTTGAAGCAAAGACTCAAGAACATTTCTGTCAAGAACAAAAGGGTTAAAAACGGATCTATAAACTTGTAAGAACCAATTTGCCTACCCAGTCAAAATGCTGCCTTGCGTGATCCCCTCGACTTGGGAGGTCGTGAGTTTTGCTAGCAGGCTCACAATGCCCGACTTGACAAGGCCCGGAAGAAACACCGCGGCCGTTTTCTTCTCGCTGTCCACCATCGTGAGCAGGAGCTCCAAAACTTTCTCTACCAGCTGCTCATTGAGCGTATTCTCTGCAATCCAAAGTATGTGCTCCAGGGTCTCTTGCGTGTTTATCTCGCCAATCCAGTACTCCATTTGCTTGCTGTGTAGCCCAACGTTGATCAACCTGTGAAACAAGAGCATGAGTTATAACGCAGGCCAAAGTAGCGTTTCTTGAGAACCCTTGCCTGCATGTTTCTACTAGAGTTTGAGCGTCTGTGACAAAGAGCTGCAGCACCACTGTGGATAGCAATTCTCGATTCTCAGCAATGACTCCACTGAGTTCCTCGTGAAACGCCAAGTTTCCAAGAATTCCCAGGCAAATCTCCTGTCAGAAATTTGGTTTACGAGCTATTCAAATCTCAAAACAAAAAGAAAAAAGAAAAAAGAAAAAACCAAACCCGGATTCTATCAGACTTTGGTGCTTGCAAAATACCCAGTATGACATCGAGGATGTAGTTATCGACCTGTACACCGAATCACTTCACGAGAAAAATAAACAAGAACTAAAGGAAACACACGGGAGGAATGGACGAAAACTAACCATGAGCCTCGCAAGGGAATCGTTCGCTGCCAAGTCCCACAAAACACAGCCAGCTTCTGCGCTTGGATCATCCTTTGCAGTGTCTTCTCTTGCATCGAATTCATCACAAGAGCTTTGAGGAATCATCTCGCGAATAAGATGGATGACATAGCTCGGATCCACAAGCGTCGAATCGCAAAGCTAGAAAGAAACACGAGCAAGCATTCTGGGCACTCGTAAGATCAAATGGACAAAGTACCTCCTTTCCGCCATTCTCGATCTCCATAAACCCTAGCTATACGAAGAAGAACAAAACAAACTTATTTATTTTGTTTCTCAATAGTTAAAATCTGAAGTTATATTATAAAATGTATTTAACGGAATTTTTCATTAATATAATGATCTGTGGAAATGTTTACAAGAAACACACAGCGATATTTGACATTTATATTGACACTGCTTAAAAATTAATAATTTAGTGTATATTGCATTAAATCAATATTTGTGTATTTTAAATAATATATATAATTATAAAATAGATAATTATAATAATTTAAATTTTGTGATAAAATAAAAACTAATTAGATTATTTTGTTTAATAAATTGAATATTTAATTTTAAACCATCACAGTACTCAACTTAAATTAAATACATAATACAATGGTATTTACTATCTTTAACATTTTGGTAAGGACTTTTGATATAAATTTTCACCATGTATACTCACTAAAATATATGAATTTAAGTAATTTCTAAATTTATTAATAATTATTTTAAAACTAAATAAATTTTTAATTACACCAAAAAGTAAACATGATGACTATAAAAAAACAAAGAGTGATCTCAAAAAACAATTTCTTTGAAGATACAAAATTAAAAAATACATCAAAATTGTTTTGATAAAAGACTTAAAATTTTTAAAATATTTTTGATATTAAAAATTCACCAATAACTATATTATAGTGTCTTAAAATGTTTAAAGTATAATATTAAATAAATTATACATTTTGTATTTTTTTTAATATATATAATTTCTGTGATTATTATATATTATAAAGACTCAAACTAAACCTTCATCTAGTATTTTTAAAATGTGAATGCTAATATAACTATATTTTAATTGTTAAAGAATAAACTTTTGCAACTATATAAAACATATTTCATGCTATTACTTAAAATTGAAAATTCTTCAACAAATAAATATAACATATTTTATATATATACATATATATATATATATATATATCATGCTTTATTTCGTTAAAGTGGAACTTATTCAGTAAAGTGGGACATTAATTAGCATGTGTCCACATGCCATTTCCTAGTACTTAATTAATATTTATTAATATTTCTATCAGTTTTTTAATTTATTTTTTATATTTCACAATATTATAACACAAAATCATATGAAAAGTTTTTAATTTATAAATTATAAAGCTAAAATTTCAATTTTTTATTGTTGTTATAAAAATGGCATGTGGCCACACACCATAAGTGGGATAATGAAAAGTTCCACTTTAACAAAATAAAGCATTATCTGTGTGTGTGTATGTATGTATAAGTATACATAAATATATATAATTAAATTATTAAAAATAATATATTTAGTTCCAAAAACCTTAAAAATAAAAAAAACTTAATAAATTATAATCGAAAATATTATTTGTAAAAATTAAAAATTACCATATTTTGTAAATTCTTACTTGCTAAACATATTTGTGATTTCTTTAAATAATTAATTTTAAACAATTTCTATACAATTTTGAATTGTAGTGTGTGAGTGCTTAGGATATAGGATTAGTTATATACACCCATACTTATGCATAAGAATTAATGGATTAGATTTAATCTCAAATAGACAGTCTATATACTTTAGTATTATAATTAGTGTATTACCTAGGTAAGGTAATACATACATATATATATATATATATATATAAACCTTACACCATCCTCCCCTCGGGAAGATGAAAGGGTGATAAAACAATAAATTAAGTGCAATATTTAAAACTTTTGTTGGACAATTATAAATTACTATAGGAATCTAAAACTCCCACAAAACTATTAATAAAGTTCTTGACAATTATGACTAAAACAAAACCCATAGCCATGGCATAAACATTAGTCGACTACGAAATCCTAATGAATTAATTAAAATTCCATATACAATTGTCAAATGCTCAAATTAATATTGAAGCCATAATTTTGAATTAAAGCAAAGGACTTCAAGAGCCACTACAATCCATAAAACACTATTGTAACAAATAATATTTTTCATCTTTAATTTTTTTTATTAATGATCCTTTAAAATTACATTTAACTCAAACTCACGACCATAAGTAGAACCTACTTATTCATCTTTATTTAGCATTGCATATAGAAAATTGAACTCACTCCATTTGTTTTCCATAACATCTTTACCCCCTCCTTGAAGGAAATTTTTTTTTAAAGCATTAGCTCCATTTAGACTTATTGCACTTGTCCTTACTCTGCCATCTATATTTGGCTTCACTCCATTATCACATCTATTTGATTTCACTGCATTAGAGCTATATGTTTTATTCAAATTTGCTATATTCATCTTCACTTCACAATCCATGTTATTCGTCTTTGCTCCATTATTGTATTCACTCATCTTTATTGTATCATTGGGGTCAAACTCCCATCCATCCCTTCTACCCCCTCCTTTGAAGAAAATAAAATTTGAAATGTCAAAGCATAAAGGAAAAAACAAAAAGAATTAAGTAAAACCATTGTAGAAGAAGAAAAAGTGGATAAAGAAACCTTAAAAAAGGAATTTCCAATAGTTGGCAATTCAGAAATAGAGAAATAAAAAAAAGAACATATGCTCAAAGCTTAAAAAATAGATGACTTTCTATCATAAAATACTTCGGTTATCATAATATAAGGAAAAGATTCACACCATTCAACCTCTTTAACATATAACTTAACAATTAAAACAGGAGAATCAATAAAAATGTCCACATTCATAAAAAAACATATAAACTCCTCAGTAAGAACAATAAAAAAAAGGCTATTAATGGCACTCACAATTAAGGATATGCACTCAAATTAAAACTTTAGCAAAATGATTTAACTTTTGGAATAGGGGATTATTTAACACTAGAACTAATCAAAAGTGTTACTAATGAAACAAAAGCAAGATTCTTAGCTTCATACATATATATATAATATCTAGATTAGTATAGGGAGGATATAAAACACCCATGTCAACACTAAATTGAAAATAAGAATAATAAAAGTCATAAATGATGAATGTGCTAGGAAAAAAAAACATTACAAATGAGGAAGAAATACTAGAAATATAAAAAGGTGATTTAGGTTGAGAAATGAGAAAAGGTTAGAAAAAAGCAAAAGGTAAAAAAAAAAGATCAAATGGCAAATTGAAGGATTGATACATACTTTATGAAATTTCCACTTTATTTCCAAAGTTATCTTTATAATAATTAAGCTTTGCAAAACAATCTAGAATTCACTCAAGCTTAAACACATTGTCTTCCCATAAACTTGATCCTGGAAAATTCTCCAAGAACCAGACTACATCATCTATAACTCGTCAGATATCATAATCATACTTTATATTGACAAGAAATGGCAAAACACCAAGAATAAAACAAGTTGTGTAATCATATCCCACAAAAGTTGAAGACAGTAACACACCAAAAATGGATGCAACACCAACATAATCACACTTTACAACACTAAAAGTTCAATCTAATAGAATAGCATTATCAACCTTAAATGACATACTCCTTAATTAATGATGACGTAATATGGTGGAAGAAGAAAATGTAATGAAGATCAAAAGAAAGAATAAATCTAAGCACAACAATAGCTAAAATTTTAAATCTTACAAAAAGCTAATACAAATCTAAATTTTAAAAAAAATGAAGAAATAAGAATAAAAAACACAATCCCGAACACTTGAGCAAAGCATTGTTAAAAAGCTTTGCCCTTTAAGGACAAATTGCAATGTCCCTCACCTCCACCAGGAATAGATACATTAATTGAGGTTTAAACCCTTGCTTATATATAAGAATGAATTGACTACATTTAGTTCCAAATAAACAATCCATATGCTTTAGTATTATAATTAGTATATTAATTAGTTACTTAGGTAGAGTAATATATATGTATACGTACATATATTTATAAACTCTACTATGTATATTAATGATAATTATTTTATTTTATTAATTAAAAAACATTTAGTATCAAGTAATTGAATCTATATTTAGCTTGAAATTATTTTAAGCTTAGTATATAGTTTAGAAAGTGTATAATAAATATAAAATACATTACTATTTTTATTTGTGCAATGTAAGTTTGATATTATAAATTTTTATTATGATTTATAAGTTTATCTATTTGTTTTAATATTGTAGTTTTTATTAATATTATTAAGAAAATAAGTTTACATGTATACTAAAGACTAGTTGTTCAAAAACTTATATAAACTGATTTTACTAAATAAATACACATGGTATTCATAACATTATTAAAATAATTTATAGAATTAAATTACTTTTAAAATCTATAATAAATTAAATATTAATATTTAATAGTTTATTAAGAAAAATTGCATGATAATGCAAAGAATTATTTTACAATTTAAAGTTATATATAATCATGTAACTAAGGTTCATATCTTTTAGTTATTTTGCTACTTTAATAAAAGATATGTTTAATTATTTTGCAGTACAACACATCACCAACCACCATATGTTGGCAAGTTGCCAAACATATCATAAATACCCTTAGTTCTAAATAACTTATATAAATTAATTTTACTGAGTATATGATATTCATTAATATATTAAGTAATATAGTTAAACTATTGTTTTAAATCTGCAATAAATTAGATAATTTTTTATTTTAAATGCTATTAATTAGGGATAATTTAGAATATTTACTTTTTCCATAATTAAATATATATTTTATTAATGTATTACATCACAAAAATAATTAAATGATATTGATTTGGGTTACATGTATCATGTGAGTACCAAGGCTAGATATTCCATGATAATAGATAACACAACAAAAAATAATAAACACAAAAATAAATAAAAATGGAAAATCAAAAAATATGAAAAACATATAATTTTACCTTACCTTTGCATATGAGTAAATACTTCTTTTTAGTAAGTTTAGAGTTATTGCAACTACATATTCCTTTTAACAACTTACAAGAAAACCTAATTGCATGAGAAACCATAATATTGTGGATGGTTGGGATTCGGTCTTCCGGAAGAGTAAGATGATCCAACGGCTGGGATCGGCGAAGGCGAGGCAAAGGAGATAAAGGACTAGCCATGGCCAGCAGCCATGGCTTCCGATTCCGGAATTAGGGTTGTGAGAGCCGTTGGATCGAGATGACAAGGGACCTGGGTATTTTTCGTTTGGCGCTAGGGCTCGAGCACAAGAAGAAGCGATGGAGGTGCTGAGGCGCTCTGGATCGTCGCTACCGATTGCTGCGGCACGCCTAGGAAATCGCAATCACAATCTCCTCGCCTCGCTCAAGAATCGTCCGCCCGGCGCTGCTCGCAGCGCCATTGCGCAGAGTGGGGTTTGTCGTGAATCGGAATCCAGGACAAGAATGTGAGGGATTTGGAGCAGCATTTTGCGAGCGGCATGGAGGATCACATCATGGAGAACGATGGCGAGCCTTGCCCTCTCATCGGCTTTAGGGCAGTTTGCAACAAGGCGCAGGGCCAGCTTGATCCGGCTTCTCCACACGCACGCAATGCGGCACTGATGCCATTCTTGTTCTACATCCATCCTTCCAATTCCGGGCACTTGCATGTCCTTACCTCGGATTTTCACTACAACACTTGGCACGGGAGCTTCACTTGCGAGTACCTCAATAATCTGGTGAGCTTCTTTCCTTTTTCTTTTTTGTTTGATCGCGATCGTGATCTTCATGGATACAGAAAGAGTCGATTGGCATCAAGGATGGATTTACCACGTATCTTCAAGGCTTGCACGATGGGTTTTCATCGAGCAAAGTTAAAGTCGAGCTGGGAGGACCAGCTAGTGCTGTGGGAGGAGAAGGTGCGCGATTGAATTTTACGTGTTACGTAACTCTCTGTACTTTTCTCTCGTGTAGGTGCTTCCTGTGCGCGCTTAAAGACTTGGATCAATGTGCACGGGGCGGCCAGAGAGGTTGCCCTCGACTTGGAACTCTCTCAAGGACGCTGCGCAAACGATACGATGGGAACTCTCGCCTGGGAGTTGTTTGACTCACTTATGCATGGTAAATTAGCTTCCCCTCGTGGAATAATAGCTTATCCTTGTTGTTTTGCAGCCAAGGGTCAAATTTCTCATCTCGAGAGAGCTTTGAAGGAGGAAAAGGTGTGTCTAGCTGACTACTTCAATGGTTTACGTGAGTGTTGCGTCTTACAGGAAAAATGTGCCAAAGTACTAGATGCTGTTGTACAGGGCAAGCCAACTTCCGTTCACTTCATCTCGAGTAAAGCTACAAACTGGCGGCCTGATGTTTCTCCTCCTCTGGCGACGCTTATTCAGGTAGGAGGATCAGTTTACTAGGAGGCTGGTCTGGTTATTAACCGCAGAAGTTTTCTTGTAACAAGCCATCCAGGTCACTTATCAACTGTAGCGAAGGAAGAGTAAATTCTACTCGTTCATCGGCTTTGAAGCTTGCGGCAGCTAATCGCTATGGGAGGACCACCAAAGTAGAAGGTAGATACCAGGAGAAGTCGTATACAAGTGTGCATTCAGGTCGTATGTCGAAAGTTTTGCTTGGTTGCTCTCAACTAAACTGTTTGCAATCGTCCGGGACTCATATACTTCTTATACTTTTGCAGTTTCCGACAAGAAAGAGGAAGGGATTATTGGTGAGAGTCATATGGCTGATAGGAAGGATGACGCGCTTTTAACACCTGGGCCTTTAGAATCTGCTGCATGCAGTCCATTGGGCTCGGAAATGCTCAATTTTGTTGGCGACAAACGTAAAGTGGAAAACTCCGAGGAAGTAAACTCTGGTGTAATGACATGGGCCAGGTTAGTTCATTTTCTTCTTTCCGCGTGGTGTTTAGAGCGCTTTTTCCTTTTTTTCTTTTTTGCAGGCGCCACTACATGGAATGGCGAAAAGAGCAAGGTTTGCCAGAAAAGCAGATAGAAGATATGCCGTTGAACGAGTTTGCTGATAGCCTGGTCAAATTCTTTCTCATGGTAAAGAAACGCAACGGGAGTTTGTTTCCTTCTGAAAGGTAGCTTCATTGCTCTTGTTCCTAGACAATCGTGGTTTTCTTGGGCAGTTTGAAGAGTATGTTTCGGGCTTTTGTTCGGATATTGCGCTCTCACTACAGATCACTCTATTTGCAAGGCAAGTACGACGGGCCTACTGTTGATGCAAGCAAGGATATCATCTTCGAGAAGGCTCGGCTAGCATGTTTAGAGGCCATGAAATACAGCATCATTCACGGAGGTAGTGCAAAGAAGAGGAGAGTAAACGACAGGGGCCCTGCATCTGAAGAGGACATATTGCATCATCCTGCCAATCAGACGACGCATGCTCATGGTCTGGCCAGGCGGCTTTGCTACTACCTCATTCACAGATTTCGAATATTTGGCTATATGGAGCTCTATGACACCACCGACCTTGAGTTTCGCCGGAGTTCTGACGAGAAAGGAAACATTTTCTGGGAGTAAGTAGTATCGTCTGCTATGTTTTCATCGTAGTGACGTTCACTGACTTGTGCAGATACGACGAACGCCGGGCAATGAAGTTCAAAAACAAAGAAGTTTTCCGAGAAATCGTCCGTTCCTTCGAACTGGACGTCGTCGAATGCCTGGATAAGTACTACATGCATTTGCCATCCAAGCCCATCGAGGACGAGCCGCGGCGATTGTTTCTAACGCCAATCAGCAAGCCTCGTTCGAATGTAAGTCTTTCTATAAAAGCTTTAAGCTCTCAAAACATCTTTCTTTTTCTCCCAGGTGTGGTTCTGTCACCAAAACATCAGTGCCAAGACCCTGAGGTCGTGGTATAGATACATGGCGCCTACGTCAAAGGGATCGACCATCCCACAAAACCACACTCTAAATCTAAACCAGCCAAGGTACAGTTCTAAGCTTCTGGTGAGACACACATTGTCATCGCGTTTGCGTTTCTAGGAACGTCAAGCCTTGTGCCATGGACATGGACGAAATGGCCTCGGAAGGTCCCATGGAGGAGGAGCTCACGAAGGTGACTCGAGAGCACCACCACCCGGAGTTTGGGAGAGGTGGTGGCAGCGATGCCGAGGAAGCCAACACTGACAACGACGAAGAGATTACAGACACGGAGCTCCCGGAAGGCGCGGACGGGAGCAACCAAGTCGACCCATCGGCATCCGACTTGGAGGAGATCACTATGTGAAGAAAACTCTCCTCTCGCTCGCTTCTCTCGGTTTGTTGGTGGAGTCGCAAAACTTACTTTGTTCTAACCAGTGCTATCTAGCTTTTAGTTGTGTTCGCAGACACACGCAGACACACAGATACACAGAGATTGATTGACCATCTGTACAATAGCTAAGAAGTACAAACGAATCGTTTTGGTTTTCGATACATTCTTTCGTTCTCTTCTTTCTTTGGCCATGAAAAAAAATCGAAGTAAACGAGCTATTGATCTTAGATGAATTGGCAGCTTGATCTTTCTCGCTCCATGACTTGTTGGAGTAAACGTGGTTGGCTAGTGATGATACAATCCACAGCATGATGAAGCATTTTCAGCATATCGGCTTCTTCGTTCACAGTCCAGGCATAAACCACTTTGTCGGCCCTGCGAAAATGGAAACTTCAGAAAATGGTAACTTTCAAGAGAGACTATATGCACTTGTGAATTGTAGAAACCATTCTTTTGTCGATGAGCCCATGGAAAACTCCAACAACGGTAGCGGAGCTTATCCTCAGAGGTTTTCTCATCTTTTGGGTGTCCATGACAATGTAGCCTGCCTGAAACAGTAACAAGCAGAGTGATTTCCAAGTTTTTTCTTCTTATGGAGTTTAGTCTCACCCATGCTTGTGATTCACGTTTGTAGGAACGAACAACGTCGTCTACCTTTGACCAGACGATGCAATTCCTGCAGTGAGTTCTATCCACCTGTTTAGAGGTGTTTTTATAAGAAAAGCACCAGCTTAAATTGAAACTTGTAATACCGTGGACTTGATTTCAGCTGCAAGATCTTTTGCACGCAGCGACGGCCCAACTTTGACATCGACTACGACATGTTTGAGGAATCTGGAAACATACTGCACGAAGGTGAGGCTAGAAAACAAAAGTGAACAAGAGAATTACTCACTCTTAATGCGTTCTCGAGGCTTGGGACTTTTTGGCCTTGAAACTCGTCAGGAAAGCCACGAGCAGCATTGAGCTCTTGAATCTGGAACTAGAAATAGTTTAAGAACAAAGCTTTCCAATCGAAGAAACAATATTTGCACCTGTTCAAAGGTGAGATCACCAACACGAAGGCCAGAAGTATTAGCCATGTCGTTCAGCTCTCTGAAAATGACCAAAACAAAAGAAAAAATGGTTTTTTTTTAAGATGCAAAGCATTAGATGAAAGCTTACCTGTCGTGCAAGGCCACCAAAACTCCATCTTTGGTCTGCGATGAGTCAATCTCCATGCAATCAACTCCAGCATCTAGAGCAAGCTTGTAAGCTACAAGCTGTAAGAAAATAAAGTCATAGATGAAAAGAAGAAATGGAACAATAGATCCAGATGAAGTGAGAAAAGAAATTCTTACAGTGTTAGGAGGAGCTCTTGAGGTGTCACCACCGTGAGCACAAACTAGCGGAGGCTTCTCTATCCATTCGCATTCTTTCGATCCTTCCTATAGCAAAACGAAACAAAGTTTTCATCTACATTTTGTCACAAACTTCCTTACTTGATTCAAGCGGCTGTAGAAGAAGAAGATCGGCAGCAGCGCCATCAATCCCAGGCCCAACAGCAGATAGACAAAACCACGAAACCCAAACTTGGATCCAACAACACTCTTCTTCCTCCTCCTCCATCTCGGATCCATCTACCCTAGGAAAAGTACGAAGCAATGGCCGGTAGCTTTCATGTTATATCGGAAAAAAAAATGGTACACAAGGTTTTTCGCGAAAAAAACAATTAACCAAGAGACATTGCTATCTTAGCTCTTTGACAGGACCTTCGTTGAACAAGGCTGTGTGGAAGTCATCGTAGAGCTGGGCGCTCACACTCACCTGTTCGTGATAAATATTTAGAGCTCAGAGAGAGAGAAAGAATTCTTCTCAAACCTTGTAAGATGTTGGACTACGAATTCGCATATGATCCGGACGCATTGCAGCCAGCTGCTGGCGACAGTACTCTCGCGTTTCTTTGAGCGATGGCAATTCTTTTTCTGTAAATTTGAAGAAAAACTTGAGGAAAACGATGGATTTTTACCAACTTGCCTAGTGATCCCTTCCAGTAGCACTGGAGCAGAGGCTCCACTCGTTTTGGAACCACGTAAACTTTGTTGAGATTGAATGGATGCCGGCAAAGAACTGGTTCGTCAACCTGAGAGAGGAGACATCACTCTCCTTGTTAGAATCTCTCCGATTTGGGAGAAAACAACTTACTTGAGGAGCCGGCTCCTCGTCCTTTTGCATCAAATCTACCAAAGCAAAGCCTTGCTCGCCGTAAAGCCTGTAGCACTGTTTCTTGCAAGGAATGGTGACTTTGGCCACGTCCTCGGAGATTTTGATCCGGGAGTGGCCATTTACTTCCACGAGCTTGTAAATGCAACCCAGCGCTGGCTGCTTGTAGCACGTCACCAGCTGAGTTCCAATCCCAAACCCATTGATCTCGTCAGCCTGGACGCAAATTTTGAGGAATCAAATCAATCGCTGATTCAACGAGGTATTTTGTGATCTTTGAAACGCTGCTGCTTGCCTGCTTTGTCAAAGCGTCGATGGTGTCCTCGTTTATATCATTGCTCGCGATTATCGTTGTGTTTCCAAAGCCTGAGATGTTGAGTTCTTCCTCGACGTTGCGAAAGAAAGCCCTGGCTTGCTTTGAGAGGTACGACAGGTCTCCAGAATCCAAGCGTATGCCACGGGCCTTGTATCTGAGATTAATACCAAAGTTTATGTTAAGCATGTACGAATTAGCTTTGAAGGAATGATAATTTTCAGAGTTTAGCAATGAAAAGCTTACCCCAGGCTATGGAGTGCCAATGCAACTGCACAAAAGTTTGGAACGCCACTTTTCATCACCTGAAAATAAAGGTCAAAACCATCTTAAGATGTATGTATTTACGTCGTATGTATCGACGAGGGCAAGAAATCCCTCCGGAAATGCCAATGCATACGATCCAAATGCCGCGAGTTCGCTCTCGTTGGTCTCTTTTACATGAAGAGATTCCACGGCCTGAAAAAAAAAGAAAAACAAAACAAAAATGAAGACAAAAATATAACAAATAAACAGAGAAAAAAGAATAAAACTTTGCCTTGAGTTTGCTAAGCCAATGCTGTATCCTCGTGCCAAAGTCTTTGCAAAATTTTGTATTTTCAGAAGTGCGAGACAACGCAATCTCATCAAGGCCCTGTTATTAAAATCAAAACCATGGAAACAGAAAAAAAAAATAAAAAACATGTGAATATCGGAGGATGAGATTTTTACCATGAATGAGCTCACGAAAGCATGCGAATGTGTTCCACCCACTGGTACTCCAAAAAGCCGTCCAGCCTCGAGATTACTGTAAAGAGACAGAATTTCTAGAAGAAAATTCGTGAAAGCTGGACCACCTTGTGAAGTCAAAGCCACCCAAGTAGCAGTACTTCGATGCACTGATGCTACCATCTGGGCCCTGGAATTTAGAAGAAACCAAAAGTTTAGATCGAGTTCTCTGTGAAAGCTCTGGAAAACTTTAGCTACTTGGGCTCGACGAAGGCCAAATTCAAGCAAAACTTTGGAGCTTCCGGCAACGAGCCTGTATCTTGCGGCATTTGTAGCGACGAGAGATGCGTAATTCACAAGCGCCAAGAAAGTTGTCTCGAGCAATTGCACCACCTGCAAGACCAAGATCACTACGAAGAAAAATGAGGCCTTTTTCGTTTTACCCAAAGAGGCCCCTCGATTCGTATCAATGGAACCCGCGGAAAAACCACTGTTCCCTCTGGAATCGCATGGATGATCACTCGCGAGCAGTCGAGCTCTTTCAAGCTCCCGAAGAACTCTTCCTGGAAAATTCACTAGAGGATCTCTACGCGATCGAGAAAACTTACACTACCTCCACATAAGAAGGCATGACACTCCGCAAGTAATCGATCCCAGAGTCCTCAAACCCGAAATTGGCAACGAAACGAAGGCATTCCTCCAGCCCCGCGAAGACTGTGAATTCGCCCCCGAATGGAGGCTTGCAGTGGCACAGATCAAAGCTGGAAGAAGAAACGAACCGAATCGGCGAGAGAAAAGGATCGAAATTGGATTACACTGCGCGATCGAGGTGCTTGCCAGCCTTCCAGTACGCGTACGCTGTAGTTACGTGGTACATCTCATTGAGCAAAGAGGAAACCATTGGATTCGTGGGCCGAGCTATCATTTTGTCCAAAACCCTAATAAATTTCTACTCCATGGTAGAATTTATATGATCCGTGCGTGTTGATCGATTCCTTGACAAGTGCCAGCCACGTAGAAAGCACTTCTTTTCTTTGATCGACCACTCCACTGTGATCGAATTTCACAAGAACAATCACAGTTGCGCGAGTTGGATTGAATTAATCGAATCGATTTGGATTAATTGCCTATGGATTGGAATCTGGAGAGTTTTCAAATTCGCGCTCTAAAACCCTAGCTATGGCATTGTGTTCTTCTGCGATCTATGGAGCGCCTTCCTCTTCCAGGTACCATTACAATTTCCCCGGCATGCCGCCAGCGCCCAGCTTCTTGTCGAGATTCTGGCTCTGGCAGCACAAGGAAGCGGATCATCGCAGCGTCATGCCCTCGGCGGAGCAAGAATCCCGTGCCAATGCCGCCAGTGCTGCCATCGCCGCGTCCTCGCCCGGCCGGAACAGCCGCCAGATCGAGGCGCTCATCGCGGCAAGGGTGATTCTCAGCATTCTCGCCAGCGCGCCCTGCCCCGAGCACGCGAAATCCAGCCTCGCGCTTCACGTCCGCTGCCTGTCTCGGGAGATTGCGTGGAGAGTGCTGGAGAGGATCGATAATCCCGACTTGGCGGTGGTGTTCTTCGACTGGGCAGAATCGCTGCCGTCCTACCACCACAGCGTCTACGCTTGCAATGGTATGCTCCAGATCTTCGTGGATTCTAAGAGGCATCGCCATGGGTATGAGTTTTACAGGCACAGGCTGCTGGGGAGCTACGCAGTGAACGAGGTCAGCTATGGCATCCTCATGCAAGGATTTTGCAAGGCCGGAGAGTTCCAGCAAGCTCTAGAGTTGCTGGACGAGATGAAAAGCAATGGAGTTCGTCCCAACGTGGTGATCCACACGACCATCATCCGGGGCCTGTGCACCGCAGGGAAAGTCTCGCAAGCTTTGCTACACTTTAGAAGGATTGGAGAGGACTGTGCTCCAAACGTCTACACTTACAGCATTCTCGTGGACGCTCTTTGCAAGTCGGGCCAGCCTCATGAAGCGTATGGGCTGGTGACGGAGATGGTGAAGAAGGGGTGCTCTCCAAACGTGGTAACTTACAATGCGCTCATCGATGGGTTTCGCAAGCTGGAGAGGCTGGACGAGGTCTTGATGCTGCTCAAGGAGATGTCTCAGCGGGGGTGCCGGGCGGATGTCATAACTTACACGATGATCTTGGATATCTTCTGTAAGAACAATAGCATCGACGAGGCTTACAGGCTGCTCAACGCGCTGGAGAAGAGGAACGTCGTCACTTACAACAGCCTCTTCACCGCACTTTCCACCGCCGAGGGTGACAGAACGACCGAGGCTTTAAGTCTCCTGGAGAAGATGATCCAGGAAGGAACTCGGCCGAACCAGGTGAACTACCGGACAGTGCTGCTGATGCTGTGCAAGAACAGCAGGCTAGACGAGGCTTACCAGGTGCTGCTATCGATGTATAGCCAGGGATGCAAGACCGACGACGTGAGCTACAAAATCCTGGTTGTGGCGTTTGCAAGTGCCGGGAGAACCTATGACAGCCTCGAGCTCCTGGGACGGATGCTGGGAAGTGGCTACATCCTCGACACCAAAACCATGAACGTTGTGATTCACAAGTTTTGCAAGGCCGGGGACTTGCATGAGGCTCACCAGCTCTTTAAGTCGATGTGCCAGAGGGGATCCATTCCCAGCAACGTTACTTACAACACTCTGATCGGAGCCTTCTGCAAGGCGCAACAGCCCGACACCGCCGTGAAGCTGCTCCACCAGATGATTCAAGCCGACTTCAAGCCAAACGTCATCACCTACAATTCCATCATCAAGTCCTTCTGCAGGGAGCAGCGGGAGGAGGAGGCTCGAGGGATTTTCCAGATGATGGTGGACAGCGGATGCTTCCCGGATCGCGTCTCGTACACCACCTTGAAGATATCCAAGAACGACGCTGCGATATACGACCAAAAGGTACACGACACATGCTTGAGGAAGCATGTCGATCCACAAGGAGACAAGTAAGCTTTCTACTTTTCAATTCTCACTCGTCGGCATAAGGTAAGGCAGGATGCAACTTCCAAGCAGATTGTTCTTAACAGTTGCACTCGCACGGATGGAAATTTGTCAGACGGGTGTTCGCGGCAAACGTGGACAAACAGGAAGTTGATACAAAAAGTCGTCGCCCGAGCCCGACAGTGCCCGACCCAGTTTGAAGCAGCGTAGTGAAAAACGCGCTCGCCACAAGTTCATCGAGTCAACGTTTGAACAGTCCCAGGCACGGTCAAGACTCGTAAGCAAAATGCTCTTTCACCGCCCTAAGCCGCGCTGTTTTCTCTACAGGAGAGCTTGGAGCTTTTGCAGCTGGGAGCTGGGAGCTGGGAGCTGGGAGGTCGACGAACAAGTCAGAGCATAGAAGATTTAGCCCTGTAAGTCAGAGCGGCTGCAAAGTTCTCAGGATTCACAGGGAAGACATCACAGGTGTAGAGTAGCGGTAGAGTAGCATGATAGCGGAGCGGAGGAAATGGAGAAAGGAGGAGGATGCCACAGCGATGGGCAGGAGCCCACCGTGTGGGATTATGTAGTGGTGAGCGTCATAGCGGTAGGCTGTGTGATACACATAGCTGGGAACACGATACTGATTAGGCGCAGGGACTACAAGCCGATACATGCCAGGGGTGTGTGGCTAACTTCGCTGAGCTCGGTCGGGGGATTGATTTGGGTGCTAGCCACTGTCGTCGTTATGAAGCACTTCCCGCGGGTGAACAAGAGACCATTCAACATATGCTCGCTGTGGACGTTTTGGCTCCAGGCTTGCTTTGGGTTTGCTCTCTGGCTCAATTGCCTCACCGTTCGAATGGGGCAGCTCTATTTGGTGACCATCAGGAAAATGCGTGTGCTCAGGCAAGACCGTCTCAAGCTCACTGTCCTTCCTCTCGTCGTTCTGCTCTCCCCTACGATCGTCATCTCGACTTTTGCGTCCGCTAAGGGTGCCGTCAAGTAAGTCTCCTTTTTTTTTTCCTTTTTTTTTTCTTTTTCTTTTTCTTTTTTTTCTGTTTCATACTTTTCTAATGCTTGCTTGGCGCCGCTTGTTTAATCGCAGGTACTGTCCTGACCTGCAAGACTGCGTTGTCCACCAGAAGGCGTTTGCCATTGTCACCATCTGTATGCTTCCTCTATACTCGCTGATCTTTTTCTGGTTTGCTTTCCAGCTCCGAAACATCATGTCTCAATGGAACGAGTTCCGGTAAGCTCTTTAAACTTTCATCTCTTGCGCGTGTCATTCAACTCGACCGTGTTTTGTGGAGCAGACAGATTCGAATCGGTGGGATCATGTCGTTTTTCCTTTTCCTTCTCTCGGTGGTGACTTTGGCGGCCAAGACTTACTGCAATCCCAGAGGTCGGGCCTTTCTCTCGCTCGCTGTAGCAGGGGCAGTGTTTTATTACTTCTGGGCTCGCAACTGGGAAGTTATCTACAACGTCATTTGCAACGAGGAGGAGTACTTCCGAAATTTCGCTAACGATCTAAACAGATTGTCCGAACGATCCAGGTTACTTTAGCTTTTCACCGTTTCAAGCTTTTCTTTTTACTGCTTTCAGTAACATCAGGGAATTTTTCTTACAGGTCATCCCACTTCGAGCGCAATCCCATGGAGAGACTGGTGTTAGTAACGAAAGAGGACGCGAGGAGCGCCCTGCAAGAGCTAAAAGCGCTCCAAGACGACGTCTCCAGTCTCACCCAGACCCACGCACAGTTGCAAAGGGACGTTTGTGGTGGAAGCGTTACTCCAGTTCCCACTGAGGCGATCGAGATGTCGACAATTCTTTGATTCTTTTCCGAAACTAGAAAACTGGTTCCGTGATTTGCTTTGCTCTTCCCGTCGCTGCAAAGCATTCTCAGTGGTGTCAAGAAAAGAAAGAAAAATCTTAACAAAGTACGAGCTTACCTCGGGCAACTCAAACAAAGGAGGAAGGCGTCACCTTTCATTCGTGAAATACGTGTGGCAGCGTGACAAAGCCTCGCAACTGGTGTCTCAATTCGGCAGCTAGCGCTATTGATTCCTCTGCGGGTTTGTTTTTCGCTGCCAAGACAGCCGCAAGGTATCTGTCTCTCGTTTCTTCCATGCTCTGTTCATCCATGAAAGCTTGCATCGATCACTCGGAACTAAAGCTTTGATTGACGATCTTACCTCGCAGCTCATGATCATCATCTGATCCGGTTGTGGCACAAAATGTGGACTTCCCGCTATTTGGTTCTCATATCTGAGCGCTGCTACCTCAAACCGGAGATCATCCATGTCGCTTTCCATCTGCGAGTGCTTGTGTTCTCGTTTTGCCAACTCGTTCTGCAACCCCTGGATCAAGAGTTTCATGTTTCCCATCTCCACCTATAAGAGAGAGAAGGTAAGAACAAAAACAGAGAATCTATGACTTACGTGTTTCTCGGAGAGTTGGTGCTGGAGCGAATGCAGGAGAAAATCCCTCCTTAGCAATTCCGTGTGGAGGAAGTCGACCTTGTTCCGAAGATCCGAGATCTCGGCCTCTTCCAGGAGTTTGATGTCCGACTGCGCCGACTGCTTGATGGATTGGAGCAATCCCTCCTTGTCTCGTACCTTTAGCTTGAGCTCCTCCACCTGGCTCTGGAGCTTTAGGAGTTCCACCTTGTTGAGCTTCATCGATAGATCCGGCTCATCTCTCACACTCTGCTCGATCGGCTTCGGCTGGAGCACCTCTTCCGCGTTTAGCTGCTTGTTCTTCTTCAATTTCGCCGGACAATTTAGCGCCTGTCGTTTGGTTCTAGGAAACAGTTAGCAAAGATCTGGATTGCGGGATTGATTTCTACCTTTTGCGCTGGAGCTCGAGTATACACCAGGCGTCCACGATGCGTGAAACCACGATGGTCGTTGCCGGCCCGATCCTACAAAACAGAGAGAGAGAGCGCGAGGAATTTAATTTTTTTCTCTCCATGTTTTTGCGGGCTCGTCGATCCAGGGTCCACAAACCATGAATATCTGCGTCATTGGAATCATCTCCTTGTCGGTGCTGCGCCCCCCTAGTGGATCCACCTCGTCAAGCTTCCACGGCGCCATTCCAGACGAGCAGCACTCCCCATTGCTGCTACAGTCGCTGCTGGAGAGGAATTGCGAGTTCCCTGCCACGGAAACAGGGGAGTCGTCGCTGCCAGCGGCATTGGGAGTGGGCGACGGCGAATCCGACGCGTAATATAGCTCCGATCGCCTAAAACAGGACAATTCAATCGTCGCTGGAGGTGGAGAGGAAGAAGAAACCCCCGACATTTCACAGGAAGAACGTCAATACCTCGGAACTGGCATTGGCGCTGCTCGCAAACCCTTGCAATCTCTCAAGAAAAATCCTCCAGCCGGAGCTCTAACCGATCGCGACACGGAATTTCGGAAGCGATCCCTCCTGGATCGCACTCGCGCTCGCGCTACCGCATTCGGTCATCCCATAAACCCTAATAGCAGGCACAATATATTGGAGTGATCGCTGTACGGAAGGAAAGAGCGGCGAGATCAACAGAGGCATGAGAGAAAGAAAAGATGGGCGGTGACGAGCGTGACGGGCACAAGAAAAGCACAACCGTCGATTAAGCCGTAGGTCCAATCCATCGATTCGATCGACAACCGCTGGATTCAAGCAAAAATCAAAACCGTCGATTCATCGCAAAGATCACAACCGTTAGAGTCACTTCATCGTAGCCGTACAACACGAGCCGGGGCGACATGTGGTGTGCCGTGTAACACCCTCATTGACAAAAGTTGGAGTGGTGGAGTGGTGGGATGTAAGCGGAAATTGCGATACAGATTCATATGTCACAAAAGGCTCCCACATTAGATCGACATCCAAACAGCAAAACTGCGAACTTGTGATAGTTTTTCTTTTGAGATTATATATTTCCAAGAGCGAATGTTCTCTAGAATGACAACAAGATATCAAGTTGCTTCGTTTCCCTGTGGTTGTTCCTCTTGAACTTCTCTTCTCCGTTTCCCCTTGTTTGGGAATCTGCTGTGGAGTTGGGCACCTTTATGTTTTTCCACTGGCATGACGAACAATGAAACCATCTGGATAATCCGTTGATGTTTCGAAGTCGGAAGAAAATGTAACGACAACCAATTCCGTCCCGTCATGTTATCTCACAAATCCCCGATATATCAATCATAACATAAACCTTGAGTGGTTCAGAAAACAGGGGCCAATACTGGGCGTTTTGCCTGAATCTAGATAGTACAAGTAGCCTAAAACAAGTAGGAAAACACATTTAATTTTATCTACTTTTCAAGATGCAAACGTTTTGTGGTCCCAAAATACCATGCCAAATACTAATCAACGAAGCATCTGACACCAACAAGGTCCCACATTGGTAGATGCCAGGTTCGAGCAAGGAGCATATTGACCTGCAAACACATTCATGTCACGTAATAGAAACAGATCCAAGTCACAGACTTGTAGAACTCATTCTTCAGACGATGCTCGTATGGGGGGTGGTATCTGCCTCATTTGCTCGACCCCATGAAAAGCTGTCTCGTAACACCTTGAACGAGAAGTGCTCTAAAACCAAGGAACTGCTTGATTTCCCATAGCATTTACCTCAGCTACAGGCAATATACCCTTGTAGACGCGCCTGAAGAAAACACATTCGTGCACTCTAGAAGAATTTCCCCGCGTACTTTTCATAAGCTGGCCATGCAGACGTAGCTCATGGACCGTGTCTTGCATCTCTTGTCAAAGCGAATCATACGACACCTGCAACCAAGGACATTTCAAACAGATAAAGATGGATGCATACCCCAAGATTCGCAAGTAAGCACACTATAAAGGAACGGTAAACACAAGAGGGACTATCAACTTTGTCGTAGAACCTGTATACCCTGTCACACTACTTCAAGACACAGTCAGCTTACGACTATATGCTCTGACATTCGGCAAAATGGTCTTGAGATCGGTCGTCTGCAGCCTGTGGATGAAGTACTCACTTAGCCAGCTCGGCCTTTCTGTCCCAATCCCAGTGCCCGCAAGCCAATCCAAAATTTCCGCCATAAATCCTGTCTGCTTATCGGATAAATGGATAATCCAATCTCGTAATTCATCACCAAGGTCTTTCAATCCGAAGTACCGCATCCATGCTCCTCATCACTGAATTGCAAAGAAAAACCATGAGTCATAACCACCTGAAGGCCTAGAAAATTACATGCATAAAATCCTTGAGCAGATGCTTACCTTGAGAGAATCCGATTGCTGTCCAAACTATCCCACCTGTTGTTGGGACGTGTTCTGCTCCTCATCCCGGCGCCCTGGTCCTCAGAGTTTTCCATAACATAGTCACGGCCAAATGCAGCCTGGGCTTCATCAACTATAAGAAGCCTTTTCGGACCACCGGGGCCAAGGAGATCCGTCGCCTCAACATCTCTAGCACTGGGAAATCAATTCAAGTCAAAGTGCAGACGCTACACTCACCATACGTGAAGCTGCTTGCAAGAAGGTTATGTCATTGACGGTAGCACTTCAGCCTCTTCGTGCTCGACTAGCGCTAACCTACAGGGTCCCTTCGCTCGTCCCTTCGGCTTCTTCTAGAGATTGTTTCGAGAGTTAGCCAACGATTCCTCCTGCCCAGCTTCGCTTTCTGCCTCGATCATGGCTTCGGCTTGAGTCTTGTTAGCGCCCAGACTTTGAACCACGTTTTGCTCAGCCACAACCTCGGCACCGCGTATCATGTACAGCACTACCTCCGCCATGGTTCTCGAATTCGATCTCCTAAAGCAAAGTTCGCTCGACATGTCCGTGTGAACCTGGCGGCCTCCGCAGTAGTGTCTGGGTCCCCGAAGAAAGAAGGCTAGATCAGCCGAATGTATCCAAACGTTTTGAAGTGACGAGAGGACGAGTAAGAAAGGATTAGAAGTCCGGTGACTATACAAATGTTTATCTATCTAATGAGCCTGGATTTTGAAACGCTCCGACTGAAGTGTGGAAGAAACGAACGAAACAATATCAGAAACGAATCACTTAGAAGAATGCAGTGCAAGAATGTTAAAGAACAAATGGAATGTCACCAACAGTGGAAGATCCCTGGATAGTCGTTTGGATAATCTATGTACTAAACCCTAAAGGCTGACATAGTAAACGAGAACAAATAAACAAATAAACAAATAAACAAAGATCAAAACCGTCGATTCGTCGCAAAAATCGCAACCGTCAGAGTCACTTCATCGCAGCCGTACAAAATTACATGCGGAAAAAGAAGAGCGAGCGAGCAAAGTGATTTTCTCCTCACATATTGCAGCACTGAGCTTTTCCTCGCGAGAGCTTTTGCCACATACAAACCATCTGGCGGGGCGACATGTAGTGTGCCGTGTAGTAGTCCTCCACACACCCCCATTGACAAAACTTGGAGTGGTGGATGTAGTAGACTGGATTCGAGAGCGCGAATTGCGACACCCACAGTCCCATGCTCACGTCCTCCATCTTGAAAATCTGTCACAAAAGGATCCCACATTAGATCTCCAGATCTCTCCAAAAACTCTAAAGCTCGAAAGCTAGAAAAACTCTCTAAAACTTACGCGAAGAGTACGCTTCTCATGGTGCTCCACTATGAAATTCGCAATGTCGGCTGATACCACGTATCCGGGACCGTCGGCGTATAACGGGTACTCGTCCTCGGGCCATTCCTGCATTGTCCCATTATTCTCATTGTCTTGATCTAGATAGATATGAATCAAAGCCAACGTACCTTGTAAGTAACAGCCCATTTTCCCATTCTCTGCGGTCTGTGGTACCGGTTGATGTTCCCCATGTAAAGTCCGGTCTTGTAAGGAGTCATTTCCAGCTCGTGGAGAATGGACTCGACGTGAGAGAACGTATCGTCGTCGCACTTCATGGTGTACTTAGCTGAGAAGTTGCGAACCTGTGGAAGCGCTTTGTAAAAGAAATGCATAGCGTGTTGCTTACCCCGAATTCACAGATTGCTATAGTTTTCAGAACGACAAGTTCATACCGGTCCATGGAGGGGATGATGATCATGTCTCTGTAGAAATCAGCTTCTTGCTTGACTTGTAAGTTCATGTAGTTATCTGCACACTATAGTTGGAACTCGTCAGTAAGCTGCTCGGAGTCGAAATAAGCTTCTCTTACCAGTGCAACAAAAAATCTGGCAACTACTCGGCCGGAAAGGATAGATGGTGAACGCATCCAAGTCTTTCTAGCGGCCATCCGCTCTCCAAAATGAGAACTCGTCGAGGAAATTCCTATGAACAGCTCGGGACTTGGATTGACCGGAACTGGTGCTTTCCACTTTGGAATGAGTTCCAAAGTTTCTGTCAAAGGAATACTGGAGTTTGATAAACGAAGAGACGTCGCCATGACCAAGTGCACGTCGAGATGTCCACCGACAAACACTCCAGTTGCATCCTCCAAACTGAAATCCTGTCGCCAAGCATTAGTAGCGAAGTTCCAACAACGAACACGGACATACAAACCTCTCTATACGGGAAAGATGCAATGTGCCTTCCGTCGACAATAAGATGGTAGCCCTCAAATCCGGCTCTGATAGTAAGAACAAAGAACCGGTCCTCGGCAAATGGGAAATGCCACAACAAGTCGTCCGACTTTTCAGCGTTTTGAAACAGTGACTTCCACCACGACAGCGATTCGCTGCTCTTTTTAATTTCAGTGCCTTCTTGAAGCCACTCTTCGCACTGATAAAGTCCGTCAACTGTAAGACGTTTAAGAAACAATAAGAAAAGAAACAGAAAAAACGAGGCAAGGTCTGAGAATCATACCTGTTTCATCTTCTTGAGACTGCAATCCATGACATCTCTGCGAGACACCCCATTTTCCATGGAAGCAGCTGTTAATCTCAATGACAGGTTTGTCGCTCCAGTCACCTGATAGTCTCGGATTGAGATGAAAGACGCGGGGAGGATCTTCAGCCCTGCCGGGTTTAAGAGCTTGCAGCTCCACCACGAACTGTCTCACCATCACGGACTTCTCCACTCTCCCCTTGACATACTCCATACGTCCGCCATGAGGCTTGCCAACCACAGTGACCGATGATCCCATCTCGAGTCCACAAGGCAGCACCATCGCCATCCCAGCATTTTCCAGCTCCTGCCTAGTCATTGTTCGCTCCAGTGGACACTCCTGTTTACCACGCGGCCTCTCAGCAACTTTACGCGAACCATTCTTGCTCATCGCCACAACGTTTTTCCAGGACTCGGACCCGGCAGCCAGAGCTTCATTAGCGGCACGCTGGAGCTCCGAGACATCGCCCATCCACTGCTTGAGTGCCTGCCTGGGCTGCTTGATGATAAAGCTCGTCCCTTTGTTGGTCTTCCGGAGCAGTGGATTCAAGCCCGAGTACCACTTGTAAACATCATCCTGGACGAGTGACATTTCCTTGGAAGCTTGCCTCTCCGGCTTAGAAACTCTGATCTGTCCCGGCCCTTCATGGTGGTGGCGGCTCACTTCATACTGCTCGTGCGCGTTCTTATAGCTTTCGTCGATGCTGGAAAACCCGTCGAAGATGAGAAGGCTGGGCTTGAGGAACTGCGGCACCAGGATGGTCATGTAGATAAGACACGACGCCATAGCCAGGAAGAACGCGTAAGCCAGTAACTTCCATCTCCAGTGGACCTTTCTCTTGCTCGTCACCGCCGACATGGAAATTCCCTGTCTTAAATCGCCTGCTACACGCCTCGCGAGCTCCGACGCCACCAGACGCATCCCCTGTCGTGTCTCATGATCCCAGCTAAGCTACATTTCCCACTCACTTCTTTCATGCCGCCAGGAGCAGTGCTGCGATGAGCGATACAGCCCGATCCGCGAAAATCGAGTCCATGATGCCGCCGCCAGGCGGGAGAACTGCAGCTCCTCCGGAAATCTCACACTGCATTGGCGAAGCCCTCGGTTAGGATGTGGAATCGAGAAAAAGATCGCCGGCATTCCCAAATCGAGAGCGAAGAACAGACCTGGTGGCCGCGCTGGGCGGCGATCGTGCTCGATCGACGAGAAAATCGCGCGGCCTTTTAGCCAGGCTAGGAAGGAGAGGAGCGCCGGTGCCGACCTGGAAATCTCTCTTTTAAACAAACATAAAAGACCTAAAGGCAGAAAGAACTCTGTCCATTAAATTAAACTTAAAATTATGCAAAATTAATTACTTTAAACACAGGGCTAGTTTAAAGTAACCATCCAAGGTTAGAGCTAAGCTGCTCTTTCAAGCGTTCTTGGGCCGCTTCCTTCGAAGGATCGGTTTGCCACTCCACTCCATCGTCATCCTCTTGATCGTCTTCATCGCCGTTCTTCGCCATCACCACTGGAGCGTTCTTCTTGCTCGGCCCCTTTGCCACCTTGGTAGCTTTCTTAGCGGCGCCACCACCGCCACAGTAGAACTTCCTCACCACCTCGTCGTTCTTGAGGAGATCAACCTCGGACGAGTGACCACACGCAGCGCACTTGAGCCGGATCATCTTGTCCACCTTTAACTCCGTCTCTGGATTCTTGCACTCGTAGCACAGCACATACTTAGCAATGAATTTGTCGAGGAGTTTTGCCAGCTTCTCTGTGTCGTGGGAGCCATTGACGATGGCGGTGTTGGTGTCGTCGCTGTAGCTCGAAAGCACCCCGAGCTCGCAGCCAAAGAACCTCGTCACCAGCGCCGGCGAGCGTCCCAGAGCTTTGCACACCTCGGCTATGTTGTCGACTTTGGTTTTCATGGAATTGCCCCGGCCCTGGAGTTTGATCACTAGCTTGTACCTGTCGGACGCATCGTTGTCTTGGAGCTCCATCAGAGCTTTTCCTTTTCCTCCCAATTTGGTTGATCCCTAAAAACCATTTGCGTAAGTAAAGAAACAAAAAGGAAGAAACACCTTTACCGCAAAGGTTGAAGGCGGTAGCCGGCTACGGAGTTGAGGATCCAAGTGTGTTCCAGAGCGACGGCTCCTGTAGCTTCGGCTATCGAGGTTGCCGCTTTCCGTTGCGTTTTGCTGTCTTGTGGATAGATAACCAGCGTTGTCTTGGGAGATGGAGAGACAGGCTGACGATGTAGCACGGTTCCACCACCGGCTCGGACCAGGGTCTCCAGGTCCGTTTTCAGTGACCCCTCAAACTCGGTGAAGTAGAAGTCTAGCAAGGTAAACAGCTTCGGGGCCTGAACAAAAGAACGAGATGTTTGTTAAGCCAAGAAAAAAGTGTGGAAGTGCTCCAGACCTCTGAGTTTGCAAGAAGTCTTCCTTGCTTGGGTCCCTCCTCAAGTCTGCCTTGTACATCAACTCGAGCTTCGTATGGTGCCTCGTCTACGAAATGGCCAGTTGATAGGCAGGCGGTTAACCCTGTACAAGCAATCGAGCTCATCAGCGGTGTGAGAAGTTCAATGTGGTTTACGTACACTCAGGCTGCAATATCCATTTTCCTTCCAGAATCCCCCTCAAGAGCTTTAGTGTCCTCCGAGCACCGCCAGTCGCGTCGGGACCAGCAAGCACATGGGTCACATTATGGTTCCACGATGATTCGACGAGTGATCCTGTTGCTGATGCGAACTTTGCCAGTTGCTCCTGAGAAAAGATATGCAGGTGGCGTATAAAACCTTAAAAATGATATTTACCTTGTCACGAGTATCCAAGCTTGAACCGCAGAAGACATATTTTCTAGGACAATTTTGCGCTTCTGCTTTTTTGGCTTTCCCACCTCTGCAAGATGATCCATTGGAGCTTGAGAGTAATAAGAGCTTTACTACCTTGGTCTCGACGTTTTTTGTTTTGTTTCTGAGGAGCTTTTCCTTCGTTTCCCAGAAAAAGAACCGGTCGCGTGGACTGGACAAAGCACGAGAAACCGTGTCTGCAAACGGAAACCATTCATTAGTGTCCAAGAAATTCATAAATCATATACCGTGTCGAACTTGAAGTTGGAATCAGCTTTCGCACAGTGATAGTGGAAAGATTTACGACAGCTGTTCCAATAGCAACCCAATGCTGCACCTTTTCTCTTGCAGCTCTTACACTTAAGCTTCCGGGCCCGGAAAATTTCTGACTCCAAATTTTGCAGTTTGTTTTCATTTTCATCGCCAATAAAGTAGACTTTAGGTGCCCTGAAGATAACATAGAATCTAACAAGTAAAAAGAAGAAAAGAAAAGCATACCATTCAGCACAAAGCTTGTGTACAACGTTTTTGGCACCGCTATTTCTTGGAAAAAGAAGACCGTTCTTGTAAGCCATCAGGTCTCCACAAACCTGCATCCGGACAATCAGTTTTAAAAAACTCAAAACGGCAAATTACTTACAGAACAATCGCCTGCACGCTGGCAGAATGCACAAAAAACCTCTCCAGATTTCCGGGGAGAAACTTCGCGTTCTTGTACAGTACCATTACCAACTTGACGCACAGGACTTTTACTTATCCTGTTGTTTCTCTTCTTTGCAGGAGACCGAACTGGCTTAACATCGCCTTCTTTTGGTGGACCTTCTGATACAGGTGCATGCGGCTTCTCCGTCCAAGGAATCTTGTCAAAAGGAACTTCAACCTTGACAGGATCCACGCGAGCTCTTCTAATCACGCTTTTTCCCGAGTCTGTGTCACCTTTTAAAAACTGCTTAATAGGAAGATAAGGATCAAGTTCTTGTGAATCCTCAACGATCAAGTTCATCTACATTACACGTGAGTAAGGCCGAAAACAAGAGCGTCGAACTAACGTAGTTTACCATATCGTCGTGAGCATTGCATTCAAGTTCGGGAGAGCATGCACGCTGAGTCCAAAGAAATGGATCAGAATCCGCTCCATGACCTTTTGATACGTCTTCCTGCACGATCCGTGTTTCTTAAGCAGGAAATAAAAGCATCTCTTACCATGTCTTGTTCACTTGACTGATGCTCTGAGCTTTTGAGGTCGCTGAACGAAGGGCGATTTGCAGCAATATCCGGCGATGGATGTGTCTGCGTTATCTGTGGATCATCTTGCGAGGAGAGCCAGAAGAAAGGAGCAAGAGGAGTACTTTGTCGAGGAAGTTCCTGTTGCGCAGTATTATGTTCAGCAGTCTTTTGCAGTTTCGACGAAGAGGCAGCTTCGCATCGTCCAAATTCCCAAGTCTTCTCCTTTGCAAGCTCAGCTTCAAAGTTCTCAAAGTCATTAAGACTCACTGGATTCAAGGCTTCTTCTTCTTTTTCTTCAACTTGTGCTTTACGTTTCCTCTTGCGAGATTTCTCTTTATCTTTGGCATTCCCAGAACTGACCATCTGAGGTGCCTGAACTCTTTTCTTAGAAGGAATTCTCTTAGTAGCTTTTCCGCGTTCAGGGGAATTGTCACCTCCTTTCGTTTGCTTGTGAAATCCTGCACGTAGGAAAGCTCTATTAGAAATCTTCTTTCATGTCTGCTCCTTACCATGAGTATTTGGATCCTGACTAGCAAACGGTGTGATTCCAACCGCAGCTTCTATATCCCGATAAATACCCACAACGTTATCCATCTTTGGCGAAGGCCTCACCTCTAGCAAAGGATCAAAAACTTAGAACTGCTAGACAAAAGAGCACGGCCCAATGGCTCACCTCGTCTCGTGGCAGGGACTTTACACACAGGACAGAATGGCATGCCCTTCAAGGATGTAAGAATGCACGGCCTGAGAGCACCAATGTGTTAATGACCTCTACACAAAAAGAAACGATATACTTACTTGCAAAAGCAATGGGTGCAAGAAAGCACCGCGGCTTGCTGGAATAGACTCAAGCTACAAGCGAAGATCAAGTGATCAACAAGATCCGATAGAAGAGAAGAAAGAAATGTACCAGATTGGACACTTGAGCTCCCTGCCGAAGCGCTCCAGATGAGGCGCCATTGCCGCCATCGCCGATCAATCCCCTGGAACCCCAAAACCCTATTAATGCTGGGCGCCAAAGCTTCGAAATAAAACGCGGGAGAATGGGCTGCTCTTCGTTTGCCCTTGGATGCCCGCCACGTGTACGCCTTTAAAGCTTCCAGGGTTTACAATGACTTAGGGCTTTTGGGAGGACGAAAAAAAATGCTGCAGGCGCTCAGTGCGCTCGCGGCGATCGAATGCGTTGTGCTGCTACTCCTTGTGAGCAGATTCTCACCTCTCAGTCGCGCCGCTGGATCGTGCGTTGGAATCTTCGTGATCGGGAAGGGGCGAGCTCTGTCTCGTTTGATCATCGGGTATCTCTCTATTGCATTTGCTACTGCTGTGTTTAGAATGCGCACAGCGTCTTTGGTGGATCTCCACTATCAACGCGCTTTGGCGGCTCTAACTGGTAAGATCGAGAGTCAAAAAAAAAAAAAATTTCCTCTGCAAGAGTTTCTAATTTGTATGTATTGTAGGATCGAGTTTGTTCGTGGCGATAGTGATTCGCCAGATCCACAGGATCGTGTGCCAGGATGAGCCACTGAGAGAAACCTTGCGTTTGCTCAAGCTCCAGCTCGAGATCTCGGAGAATGAGAAGTTCCAGCTTAAACAAAAACAGGTGGAGTTTGATCACCTGGAACACCTTGTCAGTGACTTGCGCGCAAGAATGGAGAGGATGAATCTCGATTCCGCTGCAAAGGACGGGACGATCAACGACTTGAGAGCCAAGCTCGAGAACATGAAGATCGATGCTGAGGGCAGGACGAAGGAGCTCCGAGCGGCAGAAGCCAGCGTCCAGGCTCTCAAGAAACAGGGCGAAGGCTTCCTCTTGGAATACGATCGGCTGCTCGAGGACAATGGTCACCTCCGGAACCAGCTAGCTTACTTCGACAGGAAATACTCGGGGTCAGACACCAAGAAGAAGTCGTGATCCAGCAGCGAAACTTTAGATGATCTCTTTGACACTCGAGAGCATTTGAGAAATGGATTGACAAGATCGTTTATCCGATTCAACAAGAACGATCAAATGGTTTTAGCTGCAAGCTCGGCAACTAGCAAATACGCTCCAGGCTTGATCGTCTCAAGTTCTAGAGCGTTCCTGGCAGCTCGAGCGCCACTTTCGTTGGCCTTGTGGATCCTCGAAGCGGCAAGCAAGGTCGCCCAAGTCACCGAGTCCGCCTCACACGGCATCTCGCCCAGGATCTTTTCAGCGTCTCGGACTTGTCCAAGCCGCCCCAGCAGATCCAGCATCGATGCAAAATGGTGTTGCGATGGCTGCAGCCCGTGGTCGCCCTGCATCGAAACGAAAAAGTCCCGCGCCTGGAACAAGCTCCCGCTGCAGCTGCACGCGGTAAGAACGTTGATGAACGAGTACTCGTCGGGATCTTGCCCGTTTATCAGCATGTCGTGAAACCAATGGATGGTTGACGGAGAGCTCGCAAACGCCTCAATGACAACGTTGTACGAGACGATGTTTCGTTCGGGCAATGCATCAAACATGTTCTTCGCCTGAAGTATTTGCCCCGATCGGGCATTTGCTTCGACCATGCACGTCCATGCAACTACGTTCTTTTCTGGCATTGCATCAAACGTTGCTTTGGTGTTTCTTAGATCCAGGTTTTGAGCGTATCCTTGAACAAGCACTGTCCAGGCGCTAAGGTTTTTCTCTTGTGAGCCATCGAACAAGCGCTTGGCATCGACGAGATACCCGTTTAAGGCATACATGGATATCATTGTGCTCAAAGTTACCCCGTTCCACTCGGGCATTTGATCAAACAGGCTCTTGGCGTTTTCAATATGCCCGAACTGGGCATACTTTTGGAGCATCACCGTGCAAGAGAAGACAGACCATTCGGGCATGCTATCAAAGATGGCTTTTGCTTCTGCGAGATCTTCTGCAGCTCCCAGCAAGATTGTCCACGACACTTCCGATCGCTCCATCATCGAATCGAAAAGAATTCTAGCTTCTTCAGCGTGCCCGTTCTCCGCAAACGCGCCAGCCATTGTGTTCCAAGACACCACATTCCACTCGGGCATCTCGTGAAACACATCTCTAGCGCTTTGGATTTCCCCAGAAAAGGCAAATGCTTGGATCATACTTGTCCAAGAAACAACATCCCATCCAGGACAACTATCAAACACAAGCTTGGCCTTGCCACCCTCAACACTTTGTGCGTACATCGAAATGATCTCGTTCCAAGAAACAATACTCCTTTCAGGCATTCGATCAAACATACTTTGCGCTTTAGAAAGATGCCCAGTTACGGCATATGTATGAATCAGCGAGTTCCAAGTCACTGTGTTCGGTTCCGGCATTTGATCAAAGAGCTGCTTTGCCTCTTCGACAAGCCCAAGCTGTCCACACGATGAGATCATGGTCGTCCACGATACAACATTGCGCTCGGGCATCTGGGCGAACAAGGCTCTGGCATCGTCCAGATTCCCGTTTTGTGCCAGTGCCGCGAGCATGATCGTGTAGGAGAAAACGTTGGGATTTTTCATACATCTGAACACGCTCAGTGCCCGACCAATTTCCCCACACTTGGCATACATTTGCAGCACAAGATTCGCGAGGTAACTGCTGTCCCTGTGCTCGCTGCTGGAGATAGTCTCGTGCACTGCAATGCATTTTGATAAATCTCCCAGTTTCGAGGAGCTTCGAGCTAGGCAAGCCAGATCCAGCAAAGAGAGGGTCATTTGATCGATACCTTGTTTCAAAGCTACGCAACAATATCCATTGTTTCATGTTGACTTTGGAGCATTCCCTCAAAATTCCACCCACTTGGAACAAATATAAAGTCCTACCGTACCATCAATCCAAGGTCTGAGACAATGGTAGAATTATATGATTATGATTTCCCCTCCACACGCCACACAGCACGTTTTGCATGGATTAGGGCTTTAGTAGAATGTAGCAAGGAAATATAGGTCAACTGGAGCGCCAAGGATTGGATCGCGCGAGTCTCGCCTAGGGTAGAGCTAGATCGTGAAGAATGCGAGCCGGCAGGCCTCTAGAGCTTCGCTGATCGGCCAAATCATGGTTTTGAGGTGAGCAAGGCTGCAATCTCTCGCGCTTAGATCTGTTTTCCAGGAATGGAGCCGATGATTTGGAGAACGCTGCTCTGAATGGAGCCAATCCCGTCAATGGAGTTCCAAATAGTCCTCGCGGAGGTATAAGACGAGCGCATTCGGCAAGGTGAGTTAAAGCTCTTTTTTTCCTCTTGTTCTTGAAATTCTTTTTGTGTGTGTTTCTTTTTAGGATTGTTCCCGGAAGTCGTCTATCCAGTGCTCTGGAAGATCTGGATGTCGAAGGTGATGAGAAGAATTCTCGAAAATCTCGGCACCAGGCTGTTGTGTCTGGACTGGCGTACTGTGCGTCCTCTTGCAGTATGATTTTGCTAAACAAGTACCTTCTTTCTGGATATAACTTTAATGCAGGGATTTCTTTGATGTTTTATCAGGTCTCGTTTTTTTTCTTTCTTCCGTTTCTTCTGCGCTGAAACTAACGTCCTGGTTTCTTCTTGTGCAGAACCTCATCAGTGTCATCGCAGTCGTGATACTGAGCTTCCTGGGGGCCATAACGATCGAGCCAATCACCTGGAAGCTTGTTCGAGTCTGGTTTCCAGTGAACGTTATATTTGTCGGCATGCTTGTCAGCAGCATTTACAGGTACCGCAAAAAATATTTTCGTTTCTTTTCTCCGTTGTTTATCCAAATCCTTTCTGTTGACAGCCTGAAAAACATGAACGTGGCGATGGTAACAATTCTAAAAAACATGACGAATATCGTGACCGCGCTGGGAGAAATGTATCTCTTCGGCAAGCATCACAATCGGAAAGTCTGGGGCTCTCTATTACTTATGGTACTTGCTTTTTAGACTGCACTCTTCACCAAAAACGCTGAGATCCTAACTTGTAGTAATGAAGGTTCTCTCTGCTGTGGCTGGAGGTTTCACCGATCTTTCTTTCCACGGAGTTGGATACGCTTGGCAGATATTGAATTGCTTTCTCACAGCTGCTTATTCAGTGAGTGATACGTTGGTTTCTCACCACATAATCTCTCTCGTTCACGTGTTTTTACAGCTGACACTTCGGAAGGTAATGGACACAGCGAAACAAGCAACGAAATCTGGCAACCTCGGCGAGTTTTCGATGGTTCTGCTCAACAATTCTCTTTCCCTGCCTCTTGGTCTCGTGCTCATTCTCCTTTTTAACGAGATTGAGTACTTGTCGACGTTGTGAGTGCTTGTTTTCGTGGTCCAACTTTTTTGCTAACGATGCCTTTTCTTTTGTTTGCAGGCCAATTTTGAGTCTTCCGACATTTTGGCTAGTTATCACGTTGAGTGGCTTGTTCGGCTTGGCAATCAGCTTCACATCTATGTGGTTTTTGTACCAAACAAGTCCTACCACCTACAGGTAAATTTCGTTTGTTTTGCGACTGATAAGAGGACCAACTATTCTTACAGTCTTGTGGGCTCACTGAACAAAATACCGCTCTCCGTTGCTGGCATCGCCTTGTTTAGAGTGCCGACAAGCTTGCCGAACTTGCTGAGCATCATTTTTGGTAGGCAATGGTTTTCTCTTGATGATATGGTTCGAGATGCTTTCTATTGTTGTGCAGGACTGTTTGCAGGAGTTGTATTTGCAAAAGCAAAAATGTCTAGCAAATAGCTAGTGTTATTTGTACATTCTTCAAATTCTTATAGTTCTAAAATGTGCATACCTGGTTGTATGCAAAGGGCGGCCTGGATTTTTATTCTTGGCCTAGATTTTTATCTGAAAAACTTTAGTTGTTAGTCATTAGAAAACTTGGATAAATGTTTAAATATTTTGACAGTTAAAAAAGGTAATTGATGTTCATCTTATATAAAATTTATTGAAATATAAATTTATTAAAATACATATATGAAGTCCAATTGTATAATTACAATTTTGTATATTATTATTAATGTAGTGGGGTTTTGGTAGTCATTTCAATCCAAACCACCACTTTTATATATAAGTTAGATAATTAAATATACACAATTTTGTATTCCATTTTTATATTTCATACACTCACATTAGTGGAGGTGAATAGTAACTTTAATTGTCCTTGAGGAATACTTTGATTTATGATTTTAATTTTTTATTATTTAAATTTTATAAGTTTTGAGTTTCTTCTCTTTTGCTTTATTTCTTTTTGTTTTATCTTATCAGTAAAGTAGCAACTTTTCCTTTTTTTAATTTTGGAGTAGCAATTGGTGTAGTTGCTTAATATTATACAATTACAGCAAAAACAATCAAACTCAATTGATGGCACTATTCAGAACATATAGTATAGCTCCTTCCATATACACTAATTTTAGTTTGATGCTCTTCAACTAATATAATGTTATAAGACATCACCTCTCCTTTTGTTGTTGCATATATGTTTTATGGGAGATGATCCTTTTCTAATAAAAATTAACATTGTTATTGTTTGTGTTTAAGGACAAAGAGTATGCGGTTGTAATTGTGATATTTATTATTGGGCATATGACAAAGTTAACCACATATATCAGTGTTGCCAACATTTTCTATATTGGCATTCTTTATTTTTTGGGTGGAGGCCTTGATGTCAAAAATGTCATATTAATATTGTTGTACTGAAATGGCTTAATATAGGTGTTTTTTTGGGAAACAAATACATAAGTAGTGAAGAGTCCTTGCTCAAATAAGTCAGTGACCCTTTCATCTTTATTTTAGGATTACCATCAAAGAGTTCACTTAATATAAGTTTATACAATATTTACTTTCCAAGTTCATTCTTTGCATATTGATTAATACAAACTCCAATTTATCTTTTATTACTATATATTGTTATTTATAGTTGTATTATACGGCAGAGGCAATTTTCATTTTCTATGACAACAATTGTACACATACATGTGTGCAAGCTGAGCTAGGCCTAACTATACATATAAGTAATCTCAAGTTTAAGCTTTAATTATTGCATAATAGTGCAAAGTCAAACTTTTGATTTTATCAGTGGTATAAACTAATTGCAGCACAATCATGA